CAACCAGATTGGTTGTACTTGTGTCATATGAGGTATCTTCCCGATTGGTTGTACTTTGGGTTCTATGAGGTCTCTTCCAGATTGGTTGTATTTTATGTTATATGAGGTCTATTCCAGAATGGTTGTACTTTGGATTGTATGAGGTATCTTCCAAATTGGTTGTACTTTGGGTTGTATGAGGTATCTTCCAGATTGGTTGTACTTTGGGTTATATGAGGTCTATTTCAGATTGGTTGTTCTTTGGATAATGTGAGGTATCACCCAGATTGGTTGTACTTTGGGTTATATGAGGTATCACCCTGATTGGGTGTAATTTGGGTTATATGAGGTATCACCCAGATTGGTTGTACTTCGGGTTGTATGAGGTATTACCAAGATTGGTTCTATTTTGGGTTATATGAGGTATCATCCAGATTGGTTGTACTTTGGGTTGTATGAGGTATCTTCCAGATTGGTTGTACTTTGGATTATGTGAGGTCTTTTCCATATTGGTTGTTCTTTGGGTTATATGAGGTCTCTTCCAGATTCTGGAAAATTTTTTCTAATTGTGATCACTGTTTTATTATAAATTTGTTTTTGAAGCATTCTCTGAATTACTCATGATTGACTATTTTTCTTATACATCAAAATTATGTAAAATGTACAACCAATAATCAATCTGTCTTTTGATTCAATCGTTTTCTCGCCCCCTAAAAAAGTCCAAACAGGTGAATAGCGGCCTTGGAATACTACAAAGGTTCAATTTGTGTTCTTCTTTCGTCAAGAGTGGAGAAATATAGTATTGCACGAGATTTTGTGCTGGAATCTGTTTTATGTGTTTCCTGAGACTACTATAACACATATAGTTACAGTAGTCTCAGGTGTATCCAAACACTTGTTAGAAGTATACCGACACTTTCTGCCTATATATCGGGTTAATATTGGAAGTGTCAGCGGGATATTCATTAAACAAAAGTATATCTATTAAAAGTATATAAATGCTTGCCATAGTATCAGGATAATAAAAGTATACCGATTGTTGGAATTGATATCATGATGCTTGTTATAAGTATCCTGATGCTTGTTAAAAGTATATGTATACCTATTGAAGGTATATGGATATACAGTTTATTACTATAGAACCATCCTTATTCTGAAATGATCCCCCACTCATATCTAATAGCATCAAAACGGAATAGGCCTTTGCAAAGACTGACCGAGAAACTTGCAACCTTAGTTTACTACCTCAATTGACATTTACATTTAAATAATGCGAGAATTAGCCAACATATATGTCTAACGTAGGTCACCAATCAATTGACCTATGCAAATTTTTAATTTTTAACCTTAATAGTAAAAACAAAAGAATGCAGCTGTCACATTTGAATATGACTTTCATCTTACAAGAAATCGATGGTAAAACACTAAGTAAAGTTGATGCATTTACCGTGAACCTCGGTGATATGCACACGCATGTATGACTGCCATGATAATGACATGACATGGATTGGTTACTAAAATCAAAATGAATACAAATATTTTCTGTAATTACGAAACGCTACTATTTGATTCCATACATCGATGTAATTACAGTTTATGGTAAGATTTATCACCATTACATACCGTGCACTGTGCAAATGTATATATATTTTCATATTGTCACGTTGAAAAAAAATCGGGAGATTTGATTTTATTATTTTGAAAGTGTTTGGTAGTGACGGATAGCGAGTAGCTTCGACCGTAATAAGATCATTATCATTTTCCGTTTTTTTTTTGTTTTTTTTTTTTGGTGCTCGTAACTGTGATAGGTACTAAACTTGCTCGATCTGTGCCGATGATGTTCTCTCACTAAATAATACAAAATTTGGTGACTATGTTGAACGAATCTATCCCATCGAACTAGAGATAAAGGATACTACAGATACAGTTAAGTCTGCCTCATATCTTGACTAACATCTAGAAATTGACAATGAGGGTCGGTTGAAAACAAAACTTTACGACAAAAGAGATGATTTCAGTTTCCCAATTGTAAACCTTCCATTTCTAAGTAGCAACATTCCAGCAGCGCCGGCACACGGAATATATGTCTCCCAATTGATACGATATTCCCGGGCTTGTGTTTCCTATCATGAGTTCCTTGATAGAAGATTGCTGCTCACAAGGAAGCTATTAAACCAAGAGTTCCAAATGGTGAAGTTGAAGTCATCCCTTCGTAAATTTTACGGACGCCATCACGAGTTGGTTGACCGTTATGGAATAACCGTTTCACAGAAGATATCGGATATGTTCCTTATGTCGTAACTACAATACCCTCCCTTTTCACGAATGTGACTTACCGAATTAGACTATTTACCGGATTTGTAATAACATAAGCAACACGACGGGTGCCACATGTGGAGCAGGATCTGCTTACCCTTCCGGAGCACCTGAGATCAACCCCAGCTTTTGGTGGGGTTCGTGTTGCTTAGTCTTTAGTTTTCTATGTTGTGTCATCTGTACTATTATTTGTCTGTTTGTCTTTTTATTTTTGGCCATGGCGTTGTCAGTTTGTTTTCGATCTATGAGTTTGACTGTCCCTCTGGTATCTTTCGTCCCTCTTTTTTATCAACTGCAACGGATATTTTCCTGAGGTCCGCATTAAGTACACAAGTGCATACCAGTCTAGCTATGCAGTAAGGAAAATTCCTTTTCGTGTGGGGTGGGTTCCATAAATGTATCCACATTTGCATCATGATATGCTATTAACATCTTGCTACTTACTTTACACTTCAACTTCAACAACGTAAGTATTGGGGCATTAGCTATCAAATGCATGTTCACCGATTTGATTCAAATTCTCATATTTGATTTATAACATACAAAAACGTATATCCAAATTAAACAATTACAAATGCATAGGCTCGATGATATGTATCAACAGTTCGTGTGTATTTTTGTCTAGTTGTCATCTAATCGAGCATCTAATTAACCATCGAGATGACCCCCAAAAACTGCCGACGGTAAAAAAAACCCGATATAAAAAAGAATATAAATATAAACTGATAGCGACCACGTGCAATTGGATTTTTCTAGGTCTGCTTCATTTCATATTGTAGGTTAAAAAGTAAGTTTATCATCGTTTTTACCTGTATAAGAATGATTTTTTTTTGTGGATCAAATCAGTCAACCAAATGATTCATCCTTGTTTCCCTTTCAAGGTTGACATTCTTTTCCTTTTAAATGATGAATGTATGCGTAACCCATCTCTAGCTAAGGGGTCAAATCGAAGGTCACATGCATACGGATTCAATAACGTGAAATTATTCAATGCAAGGGAATAACTCATCAGCGATGTTTCTTGGCTTATTTTGACAAAATTGAACCAAATTGGCTGGGAAGTATTATTTCACATATCACTTTCATTAATGATTGAACAAAAATTGAAAATGCGAGAATTAGCCAACACATATGTCTAACATAGGTCACCAATCATTTGACCTATGTAAATTTTTAATTTTAAACCTTAATTGTAAAAACAAAAGAATGCAGCTGTCACATTTGAATATGACTTTCATCTTACAAGAAATCGATGGTAAAACACTAAATAAAGTTGATGCATTTACCGTGAATCTCGGTGATACGTACACGCATGTATGACCGCCATGATAATGACATGACATGGGTTGGTTATTAAAACCAAAATGAATACAAATATTTTCAGGAATTACGAAACACTACTATTTGGTTTCCATATATCGATGTTATTACAGTTAATGGTAAGATTTATCATCATTACATGTGTAATGTACTGTGCAAATACATATATATTTTCATATTATCACTTTGAAAAAAATTCGAGAGATTTGATTTTATTATTTTGAAAGTGTTTGATAGTGACATATAGCGAGTAGCTTCGACCGTAATAAGATCATTATAATTTTTCCGTTTGTTTTTTTGTTTTTGTTTTTTTTGGTGCTCGTAACTGTGATAGGAATTACACTTGCTCGATTTGTGCCGTTTTTTATTAACGGCAACGGATATTTTCATGAGGTCCGCATCAAGTACACAAGTGCATACCAGTCTAACTATACAGTAAGGAAAATTCCTTTTCGTGTGGGATGGGTTTCAAAAATGTATCCACATTTGCATCATGATATGCTATTAACATCTTGCTACTTACTTTACACTTGAACTTCAACAACGTAAGTATTGGAGCATAAGCTATCAAATGCATGTTCACCGATTTGATTCAAATTCTCATATTTGATTTATAACATACAAAAACATATATCAAAATTAAACAATTACAAATGCATAGGCTCGATGATATGTATCAACAGTTCGTGTGTATATTTGTCTAGATGTCATCTAATCGAGCATCTAATTAACCATCGAGATGACCCCCAAAAACTGCAGACGGTAAAAAAAAACCCGATATAAACATGAATATAAATATAAACAGATAGCGACCACGTGCAATTTTTTTTTCTAGGTCTGTTTCATTTCATATTGTACATGTTGTAGGTTAAAAAAGTAAGTTTATCATCGTTTTTACCTGTATAAGAATGATTTTTTTTTGTGGATCAAATCAGTCAACCAAACGATTCATCCTACTTTCCTTTTCAAGGTTGACATTCTTTTCCTTTTAAATGATGAATGTATGCGTAACCCATCTCTAGCTAAGGGGTCAAATCGAAGGTTACATGGAGACGGATTCAATAACGTGAAATAATTCAATGCAAGGGAATAACTCATCAGCGATGTTTCTTGGCTTATTTTGACAAAATTGAACCATATTGGCTGGGAATTATTATTTCACATATCACTTTCATTAATGATTGAACAAAAATTGAAAATGCGAGAATTAGCCAACACATATGTCTAACATAGGTCACCAATCAATTGACCCATGTAAATTTTTAATTTTTAACCTTAATAGTAAAAACAAAAGAATGCAGCTGTCACATTTGAATATGATTTTTATCTTACAAGAAATCGATGGTAAAACACTAAGTTAAGTTGATGCATTTACCGTGAATCTTGGTGATACGTACACGCATGTATGACTGCCATGATAATGACATGACATGGGTTGGTTATTAAAACCAAAATGAATACAAATATTTTCAGGAATTACGAAACACTACTATTTGGTTTCCATATATCGATGTTATTACAGTTAATGGTAAGATTTATCATCATTACATGTGTAATGTACTGTGCAAATACATATATATTTTCATATTGTTACTTTGAAAAAAATTCTAGAGATTTGATTTTATTATTTTGAAAGTGTTTGATAGTGACATATAGCCAGTAGCTTCGACCGTAATAAGATCATTATAATTTTTCCGTTTGTTTTTTTTTTTGTTTTTTTTTTTGGTGCTCGTAACTGTGATAGGCATTACACTTGCTCGATTTGTGCGGTTTTTTATTAACGGCAACGGATATTTTCCTGAGGTCCGCATCAAGTACACAAGTGCATACCAGTCTAACTATACAGTAAGGAAAATTCCTTTTCGTGTGGGATGGGTTTCAAAAATGTATCCACATTTGCACCATGATATGCTATTAACATCTTGCTACTTACTTTACACTTCAACTTCAACAACGTAAGTATTGGGGCATAAGCTATCAAATGCATGTTCGCCGATTTGATTCAAATTCTCATATTTGATTTATAACATACAAAAACGTATATCCAAATTAAACAATTACAAATGCATAGGCTCGATGATATGTATCAACAGTTCGTGCGTATATTTGTCTAGATGTCATCTAATCGAGCATCTAATTAACCATCGAGATGACCCCCCAAAACTGCCGACGGTAAAAAAAACCCCGATATAAACATGAATATAAATATAAACAGATAGCGACCACGTGCAATTGGATTTTTCTAGGTCTGTTTCATTTCATATTGTACATGTTGTAGGTTAAAAAGTAAGTTTATCATCGTTTTTACCTGTATAAGAATGTTTTTTTTTTTGTGGATCAAATCAGTCAACCAAACGATTCATCCTACTTTCCCTTTCAAGGTTGACATTCTTTTCCTTTTAAATGATGAATGTATGCGTAACCGTTCTCTAGCTAAGTGGTCAAATCGAAGGCAACATGCATACGGATTCAATAAGGTGAAATTATTCAATGCAAGGGAATATCTCATCAGCGATGTTTCTTAGCGTATTTTGACAAAATTGAACCAAATTGGCTGGGAATTATTATTTAACATATCACTTTCATTAATGATTGAACAAAAATTAAAAATGCGAGAATTAGCCAACACATATGTCTAACATAGGTCACCAATCAATTGACCTATGTAAATTTTTAATTTTTAACCTTAATAGTAAAAACAAAAGAATGCAGCTGTCACATTTGAATATGACTTTCATCTTACGAGAAATCGATGGTAAAACACTAAGTAAATTTGATGCATTTACCGTGAACCTCGGTGATATCTACACGCATGTATGACTGCCATGATAATGACATGACATGGATTGGTTATTAAAACCAAAATGAATACAAATATTTTCAGGAATTACGAAACGCTACTATTTGGTTTCCATATATCGATGTTATTACAGTTAATGGTAAGATTTATCATCATTACATACCGTGCACTGTGCAAATGTATATATATTTTCATATTGTCACTTTGAAAAAAAATCGGGAGATTTGATTTTATTATTTTGAAAGTGTTTGGTAGTGACATATAGCGAGTAGCTTCGACCGTAATAAGATCACTAAGGGGCCTCGGTGGCCGAGTGGTTTAAGTAGTTACTACTGTAATCACTAGCCAGTCAACACTGAGGTTGTGAGTTCGAACCCCGCTCGTGCGGGTGCACTCGACTCTAATCTTAATTGACTAGGATTGTCAGTTTTCCTATCGAAGGTCGGTGGTTTTCTCCGGGCACTCCGGCTTCCTCCACCAATAAAAACTGGCCGCCACGAAATAGCCCAAAAGCGGTGCTTAAAAGTGGCGTTAAAACACCAAAAATAAATAATAATAATAATAATTATAAGATCACTATCCTTTTTCCGGTTTTTTTTTTTTTTTTTTTGTGCTCGTAACTGTGATAGGAATTACACTTGCTCGATTTGTGCCGTTTTTTTTATTAACGGCAACTGATATTTTCCTGAGGTCCGCATCAAATACACAAGGACATACCAGTCTAGCTATAGAGTAAGAAATATTCCTTTTCGTGTGGGAAGGGTTTCAAAAATGTATCCACATTTTCATCATGATATGCTATTAACATCTTATTTGATTTATAACATACAAAAACGTATATCCAAACTAAACACTTTCAAATGCATAGGCTCGATGAAATATATCAACATTTCGTTTGTATTTTTGTCTAAATGTCATCTAATCGAGCATCTAATTAACCATCGAGATGACCCCCAAAAACTGCAGACGGTATAAGAAAAAACCCGATATAAACATGAATATAAATTTAAACAGATAGCGACCACGTGCAATTGGATTTTTCTAGGTCTGCTTCATTTCATATTGTAGGTTAAAAAGTAAGTTTATCATCGTTTTTACCTGTATAAGAATGATTTTTTTTTGTGGATCAAATCAGTCAACCAAACGATTCATCCTACTGTCCCTTTCAAGGTTGACATTCTTTTCCTTTTAAATGATGAATGTATGCGTAACCCATCTCTAGCTAAGGGGTTAAATTGAAGGTAACATGCATACGGATTCAATAACGTGAAATTATTCAATGCAAGGGAATAACTCATCAGCGATGTTTCTTAGCTTATTTTGACAAAATTGAACCAAATTGGCTGGGAATTATCATTTCACATATCTTTTTCATTAATGATTGAACAAAAATTGAAAAATCATATCTTATTTTTTATTTTCTCGTAGCTAATGATGCCCCTTTAAATAAGTTCATCATAAATACCAGGCGTGTCGTCTACAAAAGACTCATCGGTGACGTTCGAATAAAAAAAAAGTAAAAAAAGGCAAAATAAGATACTCAGTTCAAGCATTAAGGATCCAAAACTCCGAAAGGTTTTGCCAAATACAGCTAAGGTAATCTATTACTGGGGTAGAACATCCTTTGTATTTAAAAAGAAATCAAAGTTTTGTAAACAGATAATTTATAATTATGACCATACTAATGATCGTAATTCATGTCAACACATACCACATTCAAATACATACAGCTAGCTACGAGATTTGACAATTTCCATTTTATGTATTTAGACCTGGGTAGCTGAAATAGAGTCTACGAGCACCGACAAAACAGAACTTTTACTTTCAAATAAGGACTATGATAAAGATGTTTTGTCCGGGGGGAACCTAAAAATCGACTTTGAAGCACGTACACCCAGTAGCACAGCTCCAGTAGGGAAAATTACAATAGAAGGACAGGGTCCACCATCAACAGGAACACAACAACCAAATCAACCAACGGATAATTCAACAGTACCACCAGTTTCGACAAAGAATTCGACAGTATCACCTGTTTCGACAAATAATTCATCAGTTCCACCTGTCCTGACAAATAATTCAACAGTACCACCTGTTTCGACAAATAATTCAACAGTACCACCTGTCCTGACAAATAAATCAACAGTACCACCTGTTTCGATAAATAATTCAACAGTACCACCAAGTCATTTTGTAAATTTGACTCCACCATCCGGAGTTGGTAAGCATTACGTATATAGATAAAGAAGTATAAATTGAATTATTGAATAAATGTAATGAACTTGCCAGCAATTTGCATGCGCTTTAGGTTAATGTCGATTAAGCGTTTCTTTATGATACTAAATTTATTTGCATATTTTGACTTGAGATTTCAGTTAATGCATTATGTTACTGTTGTAAGAATAATGTTTTGGTGTGCCAGTTGCAATTTTTAAAAATAAGACTTAACTTAAGTTAGTTGTCTATGTGCTTCGTACCATATCATAATAATTATTACAGTTTGCTCTTATGTTGTGCTGTTACACCACTATCCAAGGTTAGAGGAGTGGAAAGACCTCACAAACATGTTAAACCTCACCACAGTATTATGTGCTTGTCCCCAGTCAGGAGCCTGTAACTCAAAGATAGTCGTTGTTTCATTTCTGTCATATATGTTTTGCGTTAATTGTTTTCTTATAAATCGGCTGTTGGTTTTCTTTTTTATTTTTTGGATTGTCCTTTTTTGATAAGTCGAGGCCTTTTAAAGCTGACTTTTCGATATGGTTAATTAACATTTTGCTCATTGTTAAAGGCCTTACGGTGACACATTTTGCTCACATTCACGTCATTTGGACTCTGGTGGATAGTTGTCTCATTGACAATTATACGATATCTCCTTATTTCTATATATATATATATATATACACTGTTCATGCTAGATTCCGGATCCAAAACCATTCTGATTTCTTAATCTAGTAGTTGGCAATTGCAAGCGACATACAAAAACACGTACCTTATATAATATTATAGATTCAAGTAAAAAATCACCGTATTCCTAATGTGCCTATCCTAAGCTAGGAACCTGTAATCCAATGGTTGTTGTTTGATGCTGTCTGTTTTTACGTTTAATGATGTAGTATAAACCAGGATTTTTTTTTTCTTAAATTGTTTCTACATTTTGTCATCTTTGGACTTTTATAGCTACTTATACAGGTATGGAATTTGCCCATTGTTTTATCAATAGTTTACGATGTTTAAAAGTCAAAGACTTGTTTATGTCCGTCGGTTATCTGGATTGATATCTTATTAACGTTTACCCCATATCGCGTCTTAAATCATGAGTTCATAAATTAAGAAATTATTAAGAAACTAAGGTTCAATTCCCTCAGACAAAGTTGCTTTTAGATGGATTTTGGCTATTATTTTAAGGTTCTTTTTGGTCTTAAAGATCTCCAACTGTTTCGGGTCTTGTATATTCTAAAGAATTCAAATTTTCGATCGTTCCTGATGAGGGTAAATCCAGAAAAGAGCTTTGGACACTCGACAGTTTTAAAATTGTCCGTTTATAAATTTTGAAATTATAAAGAAACTAAGGTTTCAACTCCCTCAGGCAAAGTTGACCTTAGATGGATTTGGCTATTTGTTTTAGGTATTTTTGTAATATAGCTCTTCAACTGTTTCGGTACTTATACATCCCTTGGATTTCAAATGTTTGGCTTTGAGCGTTCCTGATGAAGGTAAATCCAGAAAAGCGCTTCGGACGCATGAAATTATTAAACGTGTTGTTTTCAATTTTTTACATCACTGGATCGATAACTCTGCTGGTGGACTATCAGTCCCCGAGGGTATCATCAGTTCAGTAGTCAGTATTTCGGTACTGACATGATTTATAACAAACTTTTCTAAAATTGTTCGTTTATAAATTTTGATATTATAAAGAAAAATCCAGAAAAGCGCTTCGGACGCATGGAATTATTAAACGTGTTGTTTTCAATTTTTTACATCACTGGGTCGATACCTCTGCTGGTGGACTATCAGTCCCCGAGGGTATCATCAGCTCAGTAGTCAGTATTTCGGTACTGACATGATTTATAACAAACTTTTCTAAAACTGTCCGTTTATAAATTTTGAAATTATAAAGAAACTAAGGTTTCAACTCCCTCAGGCAAAGTTTACCTTAGATGGATTTGGCTATTTGTTTTAGGTATTTTTGTCATATAGCTCCTCAACTGTTTCGGTACTTATACATCCCTCGGATTTCAAATGTTTGGCTTTGAGCGTTCCTGATGAAGCTAAATCCAGAAAAGCGCTTCGGACGCATGAAATTATTAAATGTGTTGTTTTCAATTTTTTAAAGTGTTGTTTTCATTATTAAAGCATATTATCAATTTTCGTTTGTTCTCCAGGACGATCTAAGATGAAATATGACTATGGTAATGCCATGGGACTTTCCATCCTATTTTATGATGCTCAGAGATCTGGTAAACTTCCTAGTAACAACCCAATCTTATGGAGAGGTGATTCTGCAATGGGTGATAATGGGGATGGACACGACCTAACAGGAGGCTGGTATGATGGCAAGTATATATTTTTTACATGAATGAAAAACTCCGAAAGAGTCATTCGCGTAGCAGGGAAGACATTACCACTGTTTCAAAGTTTGATATAATGGTTTGCACTGAACAGAAAATATGAAAAAAATAAGGAGATGTGTTATATTTGCCAATGAGACAACTATCCACTAGAGTTCAAATCAAGTAGATGAAATGAAAAGTCTACATAAGACGTATATTGATTAATATTTACGGAAGCTTTGCCCTTTTGAGAAATGCATGATTATCTTCTTTTGGATAAACCATATACTACGTTGCCTTTTCACAGAATGTCATATCGTGTTAAATAAACTGTTTTAAAGTCATATGAAACGAGTTTCTTGAAATTTTAATGTTATCGAAATTATTGAACCAATGCAGTCATATATACTAAACTAAGTCTTGCATGCACGTTTTTTTAATATATTTATCACACATCTACTTCGTATTATCGACAAATGATATTTCATTTAGTGGTTGTTCATCGTAAGCTTATTAATTTTCGAGTTTGTTGCCGAAGTTTACCAGATTGTGACATTGATAAACAATAATAACAGAGCGCGTGGAAAACATGACAGATAAGTGAATTGAAAAAGCCATTTTTTTTTATATTTTCCATGCGTTCCCATTTATTAATCAAACTATTCCATAACAGTTGTTAAATGATTTGTTTTATTAAATTTGTTCTTTAAGAATCTGTTATTACTATTTAACCTCAAGAGCACGTTTATTTACATTCTTTCAACACGCAGTGGGAAATCTAGTGACAAAATATTATCTCTCCTGTAAACACTGAAAACTAGATCTTCTCAATGTTTATCCCATTTTAGCAAGGACGCTATCAATTATGGATTCACGGAAAACGTTCTGGTAAATAGTAAAAATAAAAATAAATTTAACTAAAAAACAAACTTCCACTCAATGTTATCATTTTCCTCCTTAAGTAGCAAACGACGAGTACAGCAGGCTATAGATGCTTGGGAGAAAAATTGGTTTAAAATGTTGCTATACGAATAAATTCCTGGAGTACCAATTCAATTTATTTTTCACTGTATGTATACCTCTTTGGAACATGCTAATTATTCGTTTATATATACAGCTAGATCAGAGAAAGTCATGGAAAAAATTCCAAAGGAATCGATTGATATGCAGCAAAGATTGGCACTTTTGAAATGAAGTTACTATGCAAAATCAAACAGACCTTATCTCAATGTAAACATTGAATGCGAATAGATCGAGAAGACCGCAAATACTTGTATAAAACTCGAGACGACCTTTTCTTAAAATTGTATACAAAATAGTAGAAAGATACCTACTTTATAAAAATAGTTATCTTTAATTTTTTTAACCTGCACAGACAGACTTTTAAATGTATATATTCATGAAAAGACAACAGTTCTCCATTGAATGTACATGTGACAAGAGCAAACCGGTGTGCTCGATAACTTAGGAGTGAACAAATAAGCATACTTTGGGAACTTGTAACATGCTAAGGAATTTTTGGAACACTCAGAAAATTAGTGACCCGAAAGATCTTTAGATTTTGTATGCACATGATTTTTTCCAATTTTTTTTTATCAATATGCAGCAAAGATAGGCAGTTTTTAAATTTCAGTTTCACAAGCTTCTAAAGCAATTATCTCGATTAATATTGAACATAAAACATCGTGTATTTGCATGTATATTTCTAATGACACAGTTTAACAAATAGTTTCTTTAAAATGTACAATTATTGTTCACTCAGAAATAACTTTTGATCAGTATCGTCACCAGTATTGTTTTATTATTGACTTTCTCGACACTATCATAAGAAGAGTGAATTTTCTTTTGTTTTCGTTCACTGGATATCCCACTGCACGGGTTTCCCATTGCACTTGCGCTGTGCGGTGGATAAAGTCATAACGAGAAGTCTCGTAGTTAAGGTCACTGCATACGGGAAAATATCGGCAAATTAGTATCTGGGAATTCAATAATTCAATATCCGTAAATTTATGAAGAATTTGATAATGTAAAAGATTTTCTATTAAGAATAAGGTGGCGTTCACTTCTTTTAAAGTGAAACCTAGCCGTTCAAGTATATAAAACATATTCAACTTTTTTTGCGTTCACGCTTATATATTTGTGAGTTTTGGAAGTGTCTATGGGCCATTCGATATCCTCGGAATCAAGATTCTCGGAACGTCTCGAAAATTTTCGATCCCTTTTACAGGTTGTTATCTATATCTTTGATACGGTCCCTCTATGGCTATGCTACCACGTGACATTTTATATTTCAACAATCAAAGTTCATTTGTAGATCGGAAAGTAAAACAATAAAGATTAGGTTGTAGTCAAAAAATCTTTTTGCTTTTTGACAAAACATATGTGTTTTAATAATGCGAGTGTTTATTAAATATCAAGTATAATGAAAAAGCAATTATATAATTCATGCTTTGAGACGATCCCAGTACGCGTTGTGTGTGTAGTATTTAATACAGCGTTCTGTTGTGCATTGTGACAATAAACCTGGGAATAGTTTATTGATATATAATGTCCCAGAATAAACTGATTATTTCTGAACGTTTATCATTTGATATTTTGTATTTCAATCTTAGCATGGGAAAATGTCGGAAAGCATGCAGAAAATTTAGAAAACGATATATTTTGTTATAAATATTTATCTAAGGCCGGAAACACAGTGGTTGGAAAGCAGAAAGATAATTAAACAAAAGGATTTTTCTGTAAAAAGTATCTAATTTCTTTAATAGATACTACCAGACCAAGAGAATATTCAGTATTAAGTTTTAACTGAGACTGAATTTATTCTTAATAGAATATAATTAAAATTGTCATATATACGTGCATTATGTCTCACAGGTTTGATCAGTCATTACAATAATGAAAATTATATGCAACGTATGAGCACCACTGAGCAGGGATGCGTACTCAAAGTTAGCTAAATATCTAAATTCTAAACGGTTGTGAATGAAAAAATACTTGCATGGTTTCAATTCACAAGGATTTTAAATCACGAAAAAACGTAATTAATATTTTACAATAATCATAACAAAATTTAATTACTATGTTAATTAATTATACTGTTTTAGTATGGATTGATGAGTCTCTGCTTTTATTTTATATAGCAATATATTCATATAGTGGAATGTTAGACTTTAAGCAGAGATTGATTTGATAAATAAAATGTCCATCCGTAAATACTTGACGTTTGTGTTTATTGATATAATATTCAAAATTTTCGGGAAATAAATCATTAACAGGAATGTATGTTAATTATAAAATTTCAATTCTTTTTTTTTTTGTTTGTCTTAATAATTCAACCTTATAGCATCTAAATATTTGCACTATGGTACAATTTTGAAAATTGTATTCATTGTGTTGATCAGCTATCCTACACGTCTTGGTTCATTCACATTATACATCACCCTGTTCACAAAAATTCCGGATTAAATGGCAATGAATACGGAGTAAAAACACTTGAGGTATGTGGTTTGACATGCGAATTCAACTATTAGATTAATATATATGATGACGCAAATGCGTATACTTGTTTAGAGTATCAGTGCGTATGCTTTCTATTTACTATTTCTTGCGCAAAAAAACCACGTGCATGCATAAATATTAATTTCACTTGTGAATGCAAATTTTCGCTTTTCTTATCTAAATTCAGGACACGTCAGTAAGAGCTTGACTTTCAAGCAAGGTCATCATTACTTGCGGTATTCTGACTCTAGCTCTTTCTCTTTTCTTTTCTTTTTTGAGTCACTGTCCTATTATAAACTTTGACATTTTCGAAATTCTAAGGATTTTCTACCCCAGAAATAGATTACTTTAGATGTATTCGACAAAACCTTTGTTTCGAAATTTTATGTCCTGAATTCCTTTCAACTTCGTACTTTATTTGGCCTTTTTAACTTTTTTTTTATTCGAGCATCACTGATGTTTCTTTGTAGACTTAACTCGCGTCTTGCGTACAACATTTTAATCCTGGTATCTTTTTATATCTACATATCTTTTTATATAAATTGGTTCTTTTGAGAGTATGTTCAGGTATTCATAAAACTTCTGAAAACAACATATTCTTCAAAACCAAGTTTTCCTGTAAAATATTTGGATTGATTTCAGTAAAATCAGGAAATCCTTAAAATTTGAGATGTTTTATGAGACCAAAATAAGTCTCTATATAAGAGGTACAAATGAAGCTGGTGTGTTACTCTCATGAAAAATATACGAAACCTTCTTATAAGTTGCATGCCACAGGGTTTCACTATACAGGGACATTGGACTTTAAATTTACCTATACAACAGCTGCTATGAGTACAGACAGCTTCAATAACGAGTTGAGAATAATTGACGGCATCCAGGAAACACAATATGAAGATATGATAGATAAAATAATGCATTCAGATTATAAAGCAAACTGAGTGTTTAAAATTTATATTGCGATTGGTTTAGTGCAATTTGCATTAGACATCAGGTTTGTAGAAACTTGGATTTGCATAAGGGTTACGAAAAAATTATGTACACTCCCAAATAATAAATAAAAATAGTCGAGCCTTTATATGTATATTCAAATAGTAGCTGTTTACACTTTTCTATTCACAACTACCCAACATTTTATTCAACTAACTTGTGCAAGAATCTACAGACAATTTCATATTTTAATAAAGGTGTTTTAAATCATCATTATCTTATTTTATTCACAGTCAATTATCTCAATTCAAAAGCAAACAAAAAATCAGCAACATTGTTTTGGTGACCAGTCAGCGGTCTTGGGTTCACGTGTTGCTTTTCTGTTTTATAAAGAAAGCAACTTGTTTATAAATTTGAAGTTTCATATGACTTTAAAACACATGTCACCGTCGGTACATGGCAGCAATTAGCACCTATGATTTTGTAGAAATAAGTGATTAGAGATATTTTAATTTATATTAAATGTAAATATAAGAATTATCATAACATTAAAATTTACAAAATCGACATTGAATCCTTTGATAATCCATTTAGTTGGTTAATGGCATAGAAACTGTGTTATCTAAATAAAGTTTGGCTTGGTTTTAATTTGCATGCACCCGTGAAAAATTGAAACCTTGACTTCAACCTGGGAACAGTATGTCAATATATATATATTCCTGCTTCAACCTATAAATAGATTTAAAATCACAGAAATTGCTGCTGAGTAAGCATAAGCTAATAATGTCAAAACTAAAATATCCCTTTGTCAATTGATTTTCAAAGAACATACATCCACCTTAGGTAAGCATTTAAGGCTTAGGTTTTTAATTTGTTCGTTTACTTATTAATAACATTGTTCTTCCCAGCTGGAGATCACGTCAAATTCAACCTTCCGATGGCAACGTCAGCACACGTTCTAGGGTGGGGATTGGAGAAATTCAAAGATGCCTATGAACATGCTGGAAAACTGGATGACATGTATGATTGTTTAAGAACACCACTGGACTATTTCCTGAAATGTTGGATTCCAAGCCAGCAAACTTACTGGGTTCAGGTGATTTTATTACCCAAAATTTGTATATGTTATATATAGGTTCAAGCGCATTTAACAATCTCATATAACCTCGAATATTGAGTCTAAACATCATAAGCCAAGGTACAAATAAGACATATTTGGGTAAAATAATCAGAAACATACATACCAATTGGAATGAAACAAGGTGCATGGACTTCTGCTCAGACTTTGCGTATGATCTACCAACTGGTACTTTTCCACAGAAATATTTGATGGTCTCCTATGACGCATGTTTCTTGAATCGACTTGAGTCAAACGGGGAAGTTCATTCATAAAACCGAAATTTGAATCCCGTACTGGTAGAAAAAAAGTAAAATAACAAAAATACCGAACTCTGAGGAAAATTCAAAACGATCCGGAAAGTCCCTAATCAAATGACAAAATCAAAAACTCAAACACATAAAACGAATGGATAACAACTGTCATATTCCTAACTTAGTACCTGCATTTTCTTATGTAGAAAATTGTGGATTAAACCTGGTTTTATAACTAGCTAAACCTCTCTCTTGTATGACAGTCGCATAAAATTCCATTATATTGACAACAATGTGTAAACAAAACAAACAGACATAAAAGGTAAAAATGTCAAAAATAGGGATTCAGCATTCAACATTGTGTAATAATCTTAATCACTTTAAAAACAAACAAATATGTCAACAAAGAAAAACAAAAAGACATATAGACAAAGCACATTTAGCAAAAACGAAAGACAAGAATACAAAAATTTACCATAACACAATAACATAATAAAGGGATGTATTAGTACCGAGCCACGTTAAATGGATAGTATCAAAAATAGACTAAACAGTAAAAGTAATAATTTACAAAGACTAAAAAAGAACACTATAACACGGAATTAAGATGATAAACAACGCCAGTATCTAGAAGATTCAGAGATTTTGAATCAGAATTGAAACTAAAAGGTCTAACATCAAATAAAACAACCCAATGCAATAAGACAGGTACGGGCAAAGAAGAAAGGTGGAAGAATACGAATATATGCATCTTTAAATGAAAAAAGAAGATATTTGCAGCAGAGATCATGTAAAACTAAACCAATGAAACTTCATGTTATGTTAATAAATTGACAAGGAACACATACATTTTGTAGATTAAACTGGTTTTAAAATTAGTGATACATATATAGAAATAGGAAAATGGGGCACAATATCTATTATGACGTATACCATACTATCAGTTTGTATAGTTTAGCTGTTGCTTAATTTGACGAATTTTAAAAGAATAGAGAATGATGAGCAACATATATAAATAATAGTGAAAAATAGTGTAAACAATCAAAGAATAAAGAAATGAAGGACCCTCCATCCAGACCCTCATGCATTTGTGTTTTCATTTTCTTTCAAAATCTAGGTAGGTGATGGTGGAGCAGACCACGCTTTCTGGGGAAGAGCAGAGGACATGCACATGAGTAGACCAGCTTATAAAATTCACCCCGGGGCACCAGGAAGTGATGCTGCAGGAAACACAGTTGCAGCACTTGCTATCGGAGCAGTTGTTTTCAAAGAGAAAGGTTAGAGGATTAGAGTCATTGTGGTTGCACAAATTCGTATCTCGGCAGATTGCTCTGATAAACGTTAGACTATAATATGCCGAGGTGTGAAGACTAAATTTCTTGTGTAAAATTTTATATTTCATATTTAATTTATATTTATATTTAGTTGACGTGATTTTAATGTAAAGAATTAAAAGTGTAACCCATAGTTATACTGCAGTGAACAAAGTGTCAGCACTTCCTATTAGAGAAGTTACTATTAAAGACATTATGGTTGGATATTTTGTTATAACGGGACGATTCCGCTATCCTACATCAATTTAAACGCGCTATATTGTCTAATCTGAAAAGGTGCACCAAACAAATTTCTTAATATTTTATTATGATATTTTAGTTGACGCGAGTTACTCACCTATTTTCTAAATTTTATCGTGAAACTAAATCTGATCGTGGAAGAAATCTGTATCGCTGCTAATTTAGAGTAAAGCATTTATATATATATATCTTTTAAAACACTTCTATATCATTTTCCTTGGCAATGCTTTGAGATATATTACCAGTAATTCAATATTTCAAAGGAAACACAAATCAAAATCATTCATCTCGAACATGCGTCTGAATATTTTTCTTTCAATATCTTGTTATCCTTACATTTTTTTTCATACAGTTTACCATTAACTCTTACCTTGTAACTGTGTAGGCGAAGCGTTAACAACATCTATATTTCAATCAGATAGCAAGAGGCGCAAAAACGGAAAGGAGCACTATGAAATTCATTTCATTACACTTTCCTTTTTCTTCTCCGTTTTTTTCTTTCGTAATCAGGCAGTATGAAATATTTCACCTTTCCTTTCAGCGTTTCTGTTTCAATATTTCAGATACTGGTTACAGTGCTAAATTATTGGAAGCTGCTAAATCCTTGTATGAGTTCGCAAAAGCTAATCCCGGTATATATTCAAATAGCGTTCCCCAAGCAAAGGCTTTTTATGGGTAATATACTACTAACACCAATAAGTTCTTGACATTCGATGCAGACCTTACTGTTTATAAACCGAAAGCTGTATCGAAAATATGAAATCAATATCATTTGATTTTGCTTCGCATCACGGTGCGTAGCTATTAGTTTCAGTCGATATACACGCCGTTTTGAAATAATTACTTATCACATATAGATACTGATTGGTTGCTTTATGATGCAGCTGAGATACAGCAACAGCTATTGGCTTAAATGAGATAAAGAATTACAGACTTTTCTCGTCTCAGGATAAGACATCAAATGCCGGAAAATTAACTATGTGTATTTCAGTTCCGATCAACTGTCATTAATTCATGTTCGTTTTATTATATAAAATGTTCCTATACAATGTTTACAAAAATGCATTATCTGTATTTTATAACTTCTGCCAATCTAGGCACACCTCCAGAGTCGTGTCTATTTGTAAATATTTCAATTTTCAACAAGTAAAGTGAACAAAATTTTAAAAGCATGGGTGTATAACGCACACTCTTAAAGTAAATCCATTTTATATCAATCAATATCTAAAAAATACCACATTTCCAATACAAAATCAACAACCACATGCACACTATTACTTTAAATTAGGATAGAGCGAAGCAGTCAACAGCTTTGTGTAGAATTGACTACGAACTACATGTGCATTGCTTCAGTTCAACAACAACCCTTACCAGAATCGTGATAGGTTTTGTTCAATATCCGTAGTGTAATGCAACAGCTAAATGGATATTGTTCTTTGTAATGTTGGAAAATGTAAAGTATGTTAACTAGATATAATCTAAGTGTGTGATTCGAAAAATAGGAATCGTCTTATTTTGTACTACACATACCATCAATTCTATGTTGCAGATAAACTCAAGGTTGGGTCAGCTATTCTTTAATCGTCTACATGAATAACATCATGTTGAATTTTGGTATACATAAGTTAACACGGCTGTCATTCGGTATATCGAGAAAAATGATCGTGAAAGAACTTTAGGTAACGGTGGTCAAGTATTGCTATTGGATCGTGTAAGATCTGGTTTAGGATCGTGAAGGAAATATTATCGAGAAGACACATGCAATATCAGTAAAACATCTAATTTAATGAATGATAATTACAAATACTGGAAAAATAAAACTGTCCGTCAAAATTGTTCATTATTATGATCAGTATCCGAGAAAACAAAATCAAGGTTTAAAAGTACACCATTTTTACAAAACTACAGAAGGCAAATTGCTCCTAGAAATTTCAAAGAATTAAAAATGTAAGCAAACATAATTTTTTTCACATTTTGTCTGCATAAACTACTTTTCTATTAAATCTATCGTTCCATATTACTGTTTAAAATGATTGTTAAAGTAACATAGTTTTAGTTTAATGAGAAACTTTGCAAAAATGGGATATTTGTAAATTTTAGATATTTCGGATCGTTAAAGATCGTGTACGGCTATTTGATGATTGTGGAACTTCAAGGATTGCGAAAGATTTGTTACCACTTATTCGTTATTGCAAGAATCCACGAAAGTGATTAAATCTTTTTTTAAACACTTGATTATATAATTGTAATTTTTATAGCAAAAGATTGGATTTGCATGAATTATTCTGCTTCGATTTCGTTTACGAATACGGCTATGATAGTTTAATGCCATTGGATCTGATTATTTTCAGGGGCGGATCCAGCTTTTTTTAAAAGGGGGGTTCCAACCCAAGATAAAGGGGGGTTTCAACCGTATATCCCCATTTAAAAGCATTGATCGTCTCCCTCCTGGATCCGCCACTGATTTTATAATACACACAGACTAGTTGCCTTAAACAATATAAGTCCGTCTTTCCGTCCTGCATAAGACGAAGTGCCAAATTGGGTGATCAACCCAAACAGACATAATTGGTTAAAGTGGCCATAACTGGGATCCAGCAGGCAAAACTGTGTAAATATACATAGCAGACATACAACACAACTGAATTAAACATTCAATCATAATTACAATTAAATCAAACAAAGACGTCAAATAAAGGTTTGGTATTTGATAGTGCAGTCAGTATAGTAGTAAAGCATAATGACTTACACACTTTGCCGATAGTAAAGCATAATGACTTACACACTTTGCCGATAGTAAAGCATAATGACTTACACACTTTGCCGATAGTAAAGCATAATGACTTACACACTTTGCCGATAGTAAAGCATAATGACTTACACACTTTGCCGATAGTAAAGCATAATGACTTACACACTTTGCCGATAGTAAAGCATAATGACATACACACTTTGCCGATAGTAAAGCATAATGACTTACACTATTTGCCGATAGTAAAGCATAATGACTTACACACTTTGCCGATAGTAAAGCATAATGACTTACACTCTTTGCCGATAGTAAAGCATAATGACTTACACACTTTGCCGATAGTAAAGCATAATGACTTACACACTTTGCCGATAGTAAAGCATAATGACTTACACTCTTTGCCGATAGTAAAGCATAATGACTTACACACTTTGCCGATATAACACAAAATGAAAAAAATAAAAATACAAGGTTATACAAAATTAAACCAACCCTATAGAAACCTCATGCGTCCAAATCGCATCTCTGGTAAGGAACACCAAAAGCCAAAAACCTGAAATCTGGATCCACGTCAAGAGTCATACGACCAAATTGAACATTATAGTACAAAGACAAATAAAGACAAATAAAGGGGGGGGGGAGTTATAATTTCAAAATTCTTTCATGGTCAAATTAATGCGTTGCTTGATCTTTCACCATCAATTTTGATTAAAAATCAACAAAAATATACTTTTTCAAAAACTATTAAGAACTTTTTTCAAGTAACATACTTTTATTTTACTGGACTATCTGACACACTAAAGATTACGTTTCAAATATATCATGATATGTTGGAATGTGACCATTATAGATACAAACGTTATTTGTTTTCTTAATGATTCGCATAGGATTGTGTGTCGCCTTTTGTGTTTCTTAAAAAGTACTGCATTTTTTCTTTATCGTTGTGCAAAATATTATTAAGGAAGTTGAATCATTTTTTTCGGCTTATTTCTTTTTACTGATTTCTTTCATCTTTTGAAAATACAGCAGATTTTTCACAGATTTTGTAGTAGAATTATACTTAATTGCATTCATAATCCGATACCAGATCTTTCCCGATCCGATCGCAATGCTTGACCACCGTTAGTTATTCTTTCACGATAATTTTCTCGATATATCGACTGACACCCCATTGTTATGACGATTGCCATGTTACTTTACAAAAACATGAACGTTATGACATAAAGGGCATCATGAAAATTATGGTCTTCAAACAAAAACAATGTTTATATAATTCCAGGTATCAAATCAGGTATTAGTTTGTGTGATATTGATGAGTATTTGGGTTTTCATCAGATAATAACAATTTAACAGTAACAATTTTACTGCACAAGATGCACAATTCGACAATAAATGTCTGTTTAGTAATGATCGAGGCCTAACTATTTGAAAATCCAAAAATTATTAAAAAAATAATGGTACAGTTGTTATTTTACATATATTCTAAATTAGATCCTCCGGATATACAGACGAAATGTGTGAAGCAGCAGCTGAACTATATAAAGCCACAAAAGATCAAAAATATTTGACAGATGCAAAGTCTTTCTACGATCCTACACTAGCCTGGGGTTATTTTTGGGATAACAAACAACCAGGTTGTCAGGTATGCGTTTTACCAAATGCTACATTCAGAATAAGAATAAGATACTTATTACTGTAAAATTCCAAACAATCGGATTGATACTAAATAACACTAATAAGCAACAAACAAGACAAGCATGTAACATTTACAAAATAAATCTACGTTAGTTTTTTTTCTTAAATGCTTGACAACATGCCTCCCCTCAAATTAGCATAAAAATTATTATATTATTATATTATATAAAAAGATGTTAAATCAACAGTTCATACACAAATCTTAATACTGTTTCTATAGTACATTTCACTTATGGCATTAATAAATTTAGCAAAATGTCATATTCTTCACAAGAAAAATTAAAATAATTTTTCCCCATTTCTTCTAATTGAAATAAAACAAGAAACAATATCATGAATTTCATTAAACATTTTCATTGTAGAGTTATTAAGCTGTGCACACATTATTGCGAAATAGAATTCATCTCCCATCCCTATTTTACATAGGGGGCACACTCTATTTCCTAAAGCAGTTTTATTATATCTACCACGTTCAATAGATGGTATTCTGCTACTTATTCGTATTTCGGCATATATTTTTTTTATAATATTTTTATCTAAATTTAATAAAAGATATTTTTCAAGTTCATACTTTACTTTCAATTTTCTATAAGTTCTTAACTTATTTCCATTAATCGAATTCTCATCTTTAAAAAGACCATTTTTCCAGACCATTTTTTTTAGAAAAAGTATTTTGATTATCCCAAACATGAGAAAAGTTCAATTTGGATAGTAAATTTCAATTATTTGAAGCAAATCCATCAGGTAATTACTGGCTAACTTTATAAACATTATGTAGGCTAAGACTCATTTGAGTTAAAAATATGCATCCAGAATCATATTAAAGACTTTAGATATAAAAAGAAGATGTGGTATAACTGCCAAAGAGACAACTCTCCATAATAGACCAAATGACACAGAAATTAACATCTATAGATCACCGTACGGCCTTCATCATGAGCCTGAATACATTGGGGAACATTCCTAATTCAACTAATACATCTATTTTTACCACCTAAGAATTAACTCCAAGTAGACTTTTTGAAAATTTGATTTAAAGTTTTACTGATTCCATTGACAAATATTGTGATTCAAGTATTTTGTTGTTCTTTACAATATTAAGTGACCATACCTCGCTACAATAAAGCATATTTGGACTAACACAAAAACTAAAAAGTTTCTTAGCACATACTTACAACTTCTCGTCCAATCAAATTGCTTGAATTTGCCTTTTAATTTTCATAGTAAATACTTTTCCGTGTACTAATTAAGTAACTGCGCATGAATGACCACAAGGGTAAGATTTCATTGTATCGTATTCAAGATATTAAAACAAAAATTGCCACTGGCTATTTTGAAATAAAATGTTCCAAATTAGATTAAATAGTTTGTAATTAGTTTTCACATTGATTTTTAAATATCCTGCTATTAAAATCTTTGGATCTAAAAAAATGTTTTTGACGATTGCAAGTTTCTTTCATTAAAATAAAGAGTAACAAATATGGTTCTTTATACCTTGATTAGAGTAAACGCCATCTTAAAATTGTGATAATTTATCATCCATGCAATTACTTTGTACATCAAAAAGTGTGTACTATGAAACCTTGTGAAGGGAAATTAAGGCAACTTGGTCTGTTTTGTCATGAATTGATTGTCTGATTGATTGATTATTGGTTGCTTAATGTCCAGTGGCAAATATTTCATGCCTTATATATCATGTACTGTGTTACGACGCTAGATAAAAACTGACGAAGAAAGGTAACACCCGGCCACCGAAAGCTTGATTTTTGTCGAGCCTAGGTGGTCGAGTGGTCTAGCGCGTCGGGCATAGTGCAAGGGGATTTGGTGCCACGATATCTCAGTAGCATGAGTTCGAATCCCGGCCAGAGAAGAACAAAAAATTTGCTTCCGCAAATGTACAGATCTAACATTGTTGGGCTGTTATTTAGACGAATTATAAATATATATGTATATTTGGTTTAAGAACATCCGTTGTTCGACCTGTTAGTCAAATGCGTTTTGTTTAAATATACTTTTTCACTTTTTTTGGTCTTTTGGAAAATGTTGTTTGTGCTATATTTAGACCCCTCTACCAAGAAATTTGTTTTGCATGCACACGTATAAAAATTGCGGTTTTTATCAAACGCAATCATAGGTTTGAACGTTGTTTTCAATTTAGACTTGTATAGATATATGTGCATGCAAAACAAATTTCTTAGTAGAGGGGTCTAAATACAGCACAAACAACATTTTCGAAAAGACCAAAAAAGTGAAAAAGTATATTTCCAACCCCATATGTCCCCATTCAAAATCATTGATCGTCCAAAAAAGGGGGCTTTGCAACCCCATGAACCCCACCCCCTTGGATCCACCACTGCATACTATCTATTTGTTTCAAATTTATTATAGCTTTAGTTTTACTGTGAAATTGAAAATTGTTTTCAAGACATGTAAAGCTTCCACTGCAATTTAACTATTGTCTGCTTTTGGTCAATTTATTTTGTCATCTTATTATGTAAAAAAGTATATGTATAGTAAAACACCGCTTTATATCAATAAACGCCAGCAGCTACCATCTTTTCATTCTGGAGTCAAGGGCCTTTTGAAATCACATATTTTACAATGGTACTAGTGAGTAGATTTACAAAATTTCGTTAATCAGCTCCGTTTTACAAACACCTGTGATACAAGTAGTCAGCCAAAATAAACTTTCAATAGACCAATTAAAAGATTACTCGAGTTGTAAATATGTGCTAAATTGGATAGTCTATGAAAAGGTATATACTATGAAATTAAGAGCTCGGGGCAAGCCCCTCGCTCTAAATTTCACAGTATATACCTTTTCATAGACTAACCTAGACATACGGGGAAAACTGGTTTGTTTTTCATGAATAAACGTTTATCCATTGTGTCTCCAACTTAAACTATTGTGTTGATGTCTTTTCACAATTAAAGCCCTTTGTTATAGAGCATTTGCATTATTCACGTATCTATATACTTGCACGGATCGACGTATACGTATCGGACAGATTTGTATAAAATAATAATTTGGCCCCGACCTCAACTAAAATTAGATTAAAATTAAATGCATTATAAAATATCTTCATCGGGACCAACGTGACTTAATTTATCCTTTCCTCGTATACGTGTTATACGATACGTCGATACGGATACGCTAGCAAATACGTGAATAATGAAAATGCTCTACTTAGACCTTTTCAACAATTGTCTACACCTACAGTTGAGAACGACTACGACAGGTGAGATATTAAGGGTCGTCTCAAAAATGAAATTAAAAAAAGATATTTATTATAGATCGCATATGATTATTTTGATTGCCAATGAGAACTATCCAACAAAACGTGTATAAAAGCAATTGTTGTATACCGCACCTTATTTTGTTTATTAATTATTTGCTTACCAAAATTAAAACTTATTTGTGACTTGACTATGAAGATAAGAAGGACTTCATTGTTTCATTTCTGTTAGACGTCGAGTCGGAAAACGAAAAAAACAAAAACAAAAACAAAAAACAAACAAAAAAACAGACCTGTATTTTGTAGTAGATTGTTTAATTAATCATTGTTTTATGTCTGTCGACTAGGGCGGTAGAAAGTAACACGATTTTACAATGTCTGTTCATCTTGGCATCGGATGCCTCAATGATACTAATGACTTTATGTTTCTTTTTAATTCACAAATTTAATGTTCAACTTGTAATCGATATGAGCAACAATGCAATTTTAATTTCTTCTATTTCTCTTCAAATATTCGGCTTACTCTGCCGTTGCTAGACCTGGTCCCCGGCAACCAGATGCCGTAGCTGACCAGAGAGAGGGGAGGAATCTGATGAATTGCCTCGCCCTAAAGAACTTCACGTGGCGCGGACTTGAAAAAATAGTGCCGTAGCTGATTCCAATTCATTAAGGAAACACATCATCTTTAACACGGTATCTTGAAGCGGAGTAGTCCTACGTTTCTAAATTATCAAAACTGAATGTGTACAACAAGTGACGTGAAGATCGGTTGAGAAACACAACTCTAGCGGACGGACGGACAGTCCTGTTACAATATAAAAATAAGGAGACGTTATATGATTGCTAATGAGACAACTATCCACCAAAGTTGTAATGATGTGAAACTAAGCAATTATAGGCAACTGTAATGCCTTCAACAATGAGAAACCCCCAAACCGTATAGTCGGCTATAAAAGTATGAAACAATTCAAGAAAAAAACAAATATGACAGATACGAACCAACGACAACCACTGAACTATAGGCTCCTGACATGGGACAAGCAAATAAAGAATGTGGCAGAGTTGAATATTATTGTGAGCGCTCAACCCTCCCCTAACCTGGGACAATGGTGTAACAACACAACATAAGAACCAGCTATAAATATGTTCCTCCTTCAAATTTCATAAATAGCTTTACAAAAACGAATTTATCGCTATTGGAACAATCTGCGTTGCGTTGTTATTTAAAGGACCGACCATTTAACTTCAAGGGGGGGGGGGTATGTTTTTTCCTAACAAAATATTCTGATCCCCAATTTGATGAAAAAAAAATACTGTGGTCAACCAGATGAAAAAAATAATTTCGAAATCCAGCATTTCCTCCTACCATATAGTGTTAAATTTTGAAAAAAGTAATTTGATAGATAGCGGCTAAAAACTAAATAAAAACATAACACCCCCTTTAAAGTTAAATGGCTGATCCCTAAATACTCACATGAAATTTAACAAGAAACAAACTGAAAAAGGCAGACAACAATGTGAAGTAATTACAAACCATTTCCTTGAAAGTTTAATCATTTCAACATAAAATGTTGTATAAATACAATATTAAGAAAAGAGAAAGGTAAAATTCATATTTGTTTGGAATATGTTCTTTCGTCAAACTATTGCAAAATCGATAAATCGAAGTTGTAAACTTAACTTTTCATGAATTATATTTAATTTTGAGACGACCCCCCCATTTTACCTGTAAACTGTAGGTGTCATTTGTCGGTGTCGAGAGTTGTTGAGGTATTGAAAGTGAGTTTGATTAACCCTGATATCATGTTCAACGATGCATTAATAAATCAAAGTTAGCAAATAATTGGTTAGTGAAATACTAATATAACATCACACGTCTGTCTTTGAATTATTATGCATCTGAAAATTATTCATAATTTACAAAATAGACATATTTCGAACTTATTTCTAAGTATATATAATAAGTATGTTACCGAAATTTCTAGCACGAAACCTAATTCTAGGCGCATCACGATTTACTCGCAGAGGGATTTGCGAATAAACATTTGTAAAAATATGTAGTATAACAGATGAAATCATACTATATTTATAAAACAAAAATGGACAAATTGAATGTTATAATTTTCTTTTCAAATACCTGAAATAGCTAATAGTAACCCACAAATAAACGGGAAACCCGCTATTATTACAAAAAATATCCACAATAACATACATAATAATAAAACACAGAAAAACTGAAAAAAAATGGATTCGAACCTAAACCGACAAGTATCTACTTCTAACTTGACTCCATAACTAATTGATCTTAACCTCACGGCTACCAACAGGATTGTCTGTTATGTATTTATAAAGGTACATGTCCTGTGTATCCGTTGTACCGATGTGTATCATATGTTCATTTATATATATAAAATGGACATCTTAATTGCAATGCATTGGTAGCCGAGAGGTTTCGTCGATGTGTTGATGCTAGTCACAAATACCAAGTTTCAATGAGGTGTTCGATTCCAAGTGAAGGCATATAAAAACTACAAAGGTAAAAGGTAAGTTTTTAAATTAATTCCAATAGTGAACAGAAATCAGTAAATTAGCCAACTCAAACTTAATGAAATTAGGCACACAAAGGAAACAATGGACTATACTTTGGCAAGTCCATTTTAGCGACAGATTTAGGAAGCGTTGATTCTGTAAAAGTTATCACATGAGGACGCGGTGTGTCAGTGTAAGATCACCCTGATGCCCGGAGGCCGGATGGGTTACACTGACACACCAAGTCCGAATGGGATAACTGTTTTACATCCAAGCTCTTCTAGACTATATGGAAAAAACATTTACGCTTCATAACATCTAGTTCAGAATGCCATACAATATGTTAAATTAACAGTCAGTTTGTATCCAGTCGTTCTGGTGTAGGGGTATGAATCGTAGTTTCATATTCTTAAGGTCTTGAGTTTGTATCCAGTCGTTCTGGTGTAAGGGTATGAATCGTAGTTTCATATTCTTAAGGTCTTGAGTTCGATTTCCTGCATGGACACTGGAAATTTAGTAGATTTTTCCTACATAAATTTTGAAGGGTCTTTATTCCGAATAAATATTTCTAAGTTTTATTTTATGTTCAAAATTCCCGCCAAAATGTTACAGAATAAAAGAAAGTACGTAGAACAAGGAAACTCAAGGTAGGGTGATCTAGTAGGGGTGATCCGACTCAAATGACCCCTGTTAGAACAAAGGAGTTGGGATGTAAAGAAAAAGAATCCACGGTAAATGAATAGGCTGACATCACGGTATGAATTTCATTGAAACAACTCTCCAACACAGACCAAACTATATCGAAGTTGACAACTATAGGTCACGCCTTCAACAATGAGGGAAACCTTATTGCAAGCTATAAAACGACCCAAAATGACAAATGTAAAACACATTTATTCATTATCAATAAAATACATTGACTGTTAAGTTCCATTCCTCACAGTATCCGTTTAATTTGTTTAAACACTTTTGCAATCCATTTTAGGATTCTGATATCAATACTCAATCATCCGCAAATAAAATACAGGACAAATTGATATCGAGTAAAGTTACAGGATCACATGTGTTATCAAAAAGGGAGGTTAAGTTAAATAAGAAAATAAGGAAGGGCTTAAAACACACCCTTGTTTTATCCAAACTATAGATGAAGAGGTTTCAGTAAAACTATCTGAAACTTTAACTGCAAACAGAACTTCATTATACAGATCTAAAAAAAGGGATTAAGAGACACTTTGAAAGATTTCAGATATTTTCTTGCTATATATTCGGTACTTTTCAGAAAAGCTTCAATCAAGCCAGGAATGTTTAGTCACTGTTAGGAATTACCGTATATATTGTATAGAGCAGGTAAATAACAGCTACTGGACAATGATGAAGACTAAACAAATTTGACTATATGCAAACTATTTAAATGGACAGTAATGAATTCTGCACAACGAACATATCCCAAATCAGACTTAAAAAACTGAACATGCCTTTTTTTACATACAAAATTGTCATTCCAATACATATATACCATTTACAATTATAATACTGCATCAATCTATCTACATTTCATAAGATAGTATTATAATTTAAAATTCGTATCACAAGTCTTTTTCTTTGAAAGAATAATCGGGTTCATTATATCTCGCGGAATACTTATTTTCGGGGATTTCGTGTTTTTATGTGAACACAATACAACTCAGAAAACCAGGAAATCAGCAATTGAAGAATATTCAATTTTTCTGATTCCACAACAATTGGTACCAATGAAGAAAAAAAACGAATCCACTCTTTTTTTCATTTGTTTTTAACTTCATACATTGTAGCTTCTACTCTGGGAATTAACTCAAGAAACTAAATATAAAGCTAACATGGAAGATTTCATTGCATCATACGGACCTGGTGGATCGATATCTATGACACCATGTGGATTGACTTACAGGGGAAAATGGGGATCAAACAGATATGCTGGTAAGTCTATATTTTCACTCGAAAATTCCGTGGGTACAGGAACCATGAATTTAAATGTTCAACAAATTACAAATTTTCTAATAGAATATATGCACACTTTGATAAAAACACGAAATCAAACATCAACCAAAATGCAAGATTTCCTCAATCCACGATAATACAAGATTCCTTCAATCCATGAAATAAATAAATTCACACTAGTTGATTTTTTTATCGACCTTTAATTGTTTTTTTTTCTTTATAGCTAATGCCGCTTCCATTGCCGTGATTGCTGTTGCTGACGGAATAGGTGGGGATAAATTTCTAAATTACGCCATGTCACAAATAAACTACATCTTAGGTGACAATAATTTACGTTTGAGTTATGAAATAGGATTTGGAAATAATTATCCGAAGAGGCCTCACCACAGAGGAGCGTAAGTATACATTTTATGCTTCACAACTTTGTTAATTGAGTTATTTTGAAATAATTATCCGAAAAAGCCTCCCCACTGTCACTGTATAAAGAATTATTTCATGATGCATTGGTCATGCCTACAGTTTGGAAACAGCTGAAGATATTTTAAATTGTTTAAAGGGTAGAAGCCACGTGAATAACATATTTTTCTTTTAGAAAATAATGAACACAACACTTTATAAATTTCATTCGTCTGGAGCGCTTTTCTGGATTTACCTTCATCAGGAACGCTCAAATCCAAATATTTGAAAGCCAAGGATTTATAAGAACCGAAACCGTTGAAGAGCTATACGACCAACAAACCCTAGCCATCTAAGGTCAACTTTGCCTAAGGAAGTTGAAACCTTAGTTTCTTTATAATTTCTTAATTTATTTATGGACAATTTACGCAAGGTTTGTTATAAATCATGTCAGTACCTAAGGGTTGAAGCCACGTGAATATGATATTTTCTCTTTTAGGAAACCTTTAACAGTCAGGATTCTACTCCGTCAAAATTAAATTATTCTAATTAAATATTTGAAAGGGCAGACTTAATATTTTCAGAGGTTGAAGACTTATTACCCTAAATACAACACACAAAATATTATTTGTTTTTAAGTTATACATTTTTAAGATCCACATGTAAAGTCTGTCGTCAAGTGCTTTTAGTAGAAATTTGTCATTCAAACACACCTACACTTTTATTATGACTCATTACAAAGGTATTTTACTTAACCCATATACTTCATTTTTTAGTACTGTGAATTTTTAATGTTATTATATCAACTTGTAGCCTAGATATATAACAACAGTAATATAATCTGAAGCGTGATGATGTATCAAATATGTTTGCGTGATACGTTTTCTAAACAAAACAGTCTACTCAAACACGCCTGAACATAAAAAGACTTTCTCTTTTCAATGAGATCATTGCCCATTTTTATGATTTTTTCACAAATAACTGTCGCCGTTGGCAGAGATGCAAATTAATGCTTTAAAAAGGTTATTATTTTATCATTATGTGGATTTTTTTGGGGCGGAATGTATGATTATGCACAAACAAAAATCCACATATATTTGCACATATCACAATCGACTGTTTTGTGAAAATTTGTCTTTAATTTAAAAGTTTACAAATATTTTGATAGACCTCTATAACTTAAGTAAAAACAAGTATATAAGATGCAAAAATCCTAAACTATACATCTACATTAAACTTTTAAAGCCTATAGAAACAGATGTAAACAGTTCAAATATACCAACTTGGCCTTTTTTTACCGTATCTAATAAAGAGTTCCATTTCTTTTGTTTAATTTCAACTGGATATCAGACGGTTAATAATCTATGTATGCACTTCTTTACATGATTATTTTTCATTTTGCAGTGCATGTAAGCCAGGTCGGTGTGCGGCCTCATCGCAAGATAGTCCAAATATTGTGTACGGTGGACTTGTGGGTGGACCAGATCAGAATGACGACTATCAAGACAATCGAGATGATTATGTCAAAAATGAAGTCGCTTGTGATTACAATGCAGGTTTCCAAACTGCATGTGCAGGTATAGTTATTCATAAATAACTGTGATCTATCATAAAACGGTTTTTTATAAAGACTTCGACCAGCAGAAAAATATTATCAAGACAATAGATGCGTTTTGGAGCTCTGATTAAGATATGAAAAACAAAAACAATTGCTTCATTTGATGAACACTGAAATGTTGTTTAAAGACTAAGACATTAAAAAGTTGAAAATTTTAACCAATAAAGAGACATTATACACTTTTGTATACACTGAAATTTCTTGCCGAATGTCGGTTGTTTTCTCCGTACACTCCGATTTCCTCCACCAATAAAAACTAACCGCCCTGAAATAACCAATAGTGCTGAATGTATAAACCGAGAGATATATAAAAATAATGCTAAGATTGAGTAATAAACACAATCGCTTATGTTTATTCGTAGAAAAAATCCTTACAAAGTTCAGATTTCTTTCTGTTACCGTAAACATGAAACGTCTTCATTAGCCAGTTCTATTTCTTGTTTCTTCACGTTATATAGTCATTCTTTTTTTATAGGTCTCTACCATTTCGCAATCAATAACCAGCTGCCTCCTGCCGAACCGGCAAAATGTTGATTTTCATATACCGACCTTTAAGACTGACGACTGTTATAATATATTTAAGTAGTTGATCAAAATAAAGATGTATATTAGTTTTAATCGACTGTTCTTGTGTCTTAAATAAATAGCATTTACGATTTTCTTATCAAGTTGTTGACTTGTGCTAGGGGGCGACCATTTGATCCCTCTCAAATAAATCAAATTATCGTCCCGTAGTATATATATCACTTCAGTAAAACTAGTATTGTCGATGAGCTCCGTTTTACTTGTATACAACTCAAATCAGATCAAACAAAATAACAATTCAATACATACAGCTAGACTTATTGTAATTGACTTTGAACTTGGCTTTCAGTAACTATGAGTACTCCTAGATTGATACGTTGGGTCGTTTGTCTTTTTGTTAGCTGTTTTTGTGATTCGTACCTATCTGATGAGTCAAGCACGTTCCATCTTAGAACTACAGTTAGTTCGTATGTTGTGATGTGATGTTACACTACTGTCCCAGGTTTGGGGAGGGTTTAGCTCTCATTAGAATGTTTAACCCCTCTACATTCTTTAAAATGCGTATCTCAAGTTAGGAACAAAATCTTCTAACTTTCAAACATGTCCAAGATTTTATCGAAAAGTTGAACAGATTTGATGTACCTTCATAAAGTGTTATTGATACTAGACATCATTATTAAAACATAAGTCATCATCACACAATATCATTTCTCAATGTTTGCTTCTTCCTTTCTTTTCTTCCTTTCTTTTCTTCTTTTTATTTATAGTTCGTATAAATAAAGGCAACAGTAGTATACCGCTTTCGAAATTCATAAATCGATTGAGAAAAAAAACAAATCCGGGTTACAAACTAAAACTGAGAGAAACACATCAAATATAAGAGGAGAACTACGACACAACAGATACACAACATTAGACTGTAACACACACAGAAACGAACTATAATATAACAATGGCCATTTTCCTGACTTGGTACAGGACATTTTAAGAAAAAAAATGGTGGGTTGAACCTGGTTTTGTGGCTAGCCAAACCTCCCGCTTTTATGGCAATGTTAAATATAACATTAAAATGACAACATTACATGACAAGACTACACTACAAATAAATGGGAGAACATATAGGACAGAGAAACATACGAAGAGACATACATATATACAGAGAAATATAACATCCAATATTTTTGTTCGTTTAACGTTTGTCCTTATAATACCGGTATTATCATTATATATATCTTATCATATTGTAAAAGACTTCATAACTATGATTTACTTGTGTCTCATCCGTTTTGCTTAGATTAAACAAACAAAATATGTTTAAACTAAACCGATGACTTTTTTTTTTGGTGGTGTGTAGTTGCTGTCTCACTTGTACACACTTGTCATTCTTTCAAGCACTCAAATGTAATTGAACCCTTGCCGTTTTAGTTTTAGCATCGGGTTTAGTGACGCTGTGTTTATATGTATTAGTAGGCATATGTATCGGTTTTATCTGTGCCTGTATCACTCGGCTAGGCTCTTCGTAAAATTGCATATTACGGCTTTATGGTCGATGTCAATATAAAAGAAGATGTGGAGTATACGTTTATGAGATATCAATCCAATAGCAAAATATCAAAAAGACACCAAGAGTGCAACTTACAGTCTTTACCAATAGACTGGTGCCTATACAATGTCAAAGTCTTAACCAACCCGTGTTCATATGTACAAATGTTTTTTTTAAATATGTAAATAGACAGAACAGTTCACAAACACACAACGTAGAAACCCAAAGACTGAGTAACACGAACCCCACAAAAAACCGGGGTGATCTCAGGTGCTCAAAGAATTTCACTATAAGGTTATCAATAAATAGGGTGCTACGAAGAAATGAAAAAAAAACCTGAGCTTTTAATAAGAAAGGAATGTAATGACTATGCATTTATTGAGTTGTCACTTTATCGATAATTATCAAACATTGTAGATGTATATCTTAATCCAGGGAATCATTTAATAGAAAAAAAATTTACTGAAATGTTTGACAATTTTTTTTATAAATTTAAACATTCAATAAAAGCCTGCAAATATGCTAGCTACATCCTGATTTAAAGTAACTGATTGAGACAATTTTTAATGATTGTTGCATTATAATGAGTTTAGACTATTGGTAACTTTCTTTTAAGACTGCTATAATTGTAAGGTTATTAGATAAAGATCAACACACATATACAATAAAAGTAACGAAAAAGCAACACAACAATGCAAATAATTGGCAGACATCTAGAGGTCAATCATAGACATGTGTCTATACAATATGTCAAACACATGTGTCGAAGCCCATGTGTCAAGGTTAAATTAGTATATGAGATCAAACTCATAGATCGAAAACAAACTGACAACGCAATGGCCAAAAATAAAAAAGACAAACAGACAAATAATAGTACAGATGACACAACATAGAAAACTAAAGACTAAGCAACACAAACCCCACCAAAAACTGGGGGTGATCTCAGGTGCTCCGGAAGGGTAAGCAGATCCTGCTCCAAAAGTTATACACGAAAAATGTTCTAGTAGATAGAAAAAAAACCAATGAACATCAGTACAGGAAAAGATCTAAAACACGTTCTAATTTTTATAGGAAGCTAATGTATATAGACCTTATCGCTATTTAGTAATCTGCGACACTTGATCCGATATTGTACGACACTTAATGTATTAACGACATACAACAACCACTTTTGCATTGTGATGTCAAAATTTTACGCGAACAGTTATGGTGTTTAGTAATGGCGAACACATAGTGATAGTGTTTGGTTTTTTTAGCAGCTTTAGGCTTAATCGATGTTGTTTGATTGATGATTGGTTGTTGAGACATGCGCATCAGACACAAACAAACATGGCTATCCAGGAGTACGAAATCGGTTTAAAATACAGATGTCTTTTTAATGGAACGATTTTATACAAAGTCGAATTATGAGCGAATCATATCGTTATAATTGATAATTTAATTTACAAAAATTATCAAACATAAAAATATTAAAAGAGTGAAGTTCTTTGATAATATCCCATAATATTTAGAAATCTATCAGGGTTGATTGTTATGATGTCGCTGACCAAATGGCAGACAGGACATGATAATATCAAGCATAAATAGCACTTATTTAGAGATAGAGTGTATCAGTCCAATACATTAGGTCTTCTAAGTACTACACTCTGTTCATTTTTAAAAGACTACACTACAAACCATTACATGTCTGAAATGGGTAGTATTTGTACTCCACTATACTGATTCTCGACCATTCTGAATAAGCCTGCATTATACAGGAAATTATTTGATCCCAATCTTAACCATACTCGACTGTTCTGATCTGTACTCGACCGTAATCTATACCGTACTTAAAAGTCTGAATTGGACCAAGTATTCTACCATTCCGAAATAGTCTTAACCCATTCTTAACCTGTTTTCAATGTCTTAACCATATTTGACTAAAGGTCTGAACTGTGATCAACCAAGTGGAATTGTTCATCAAGGGCAAATTGGTAAACAGTGCTTCAGTATTCCAACTTAATTTTTAAACTTGTAGTCATTTGTTATTTCTTTTCAACCTGTGAGGTAAAGGTGCTTACAATAATCTGCCCCGATATAATGTTTTCTTAAAAGTTGCACATGGAAAATGACGTGCTTCTAGCGAGTAGCCTTAAATTACTTGATACACGTACTAGTAACTCGTTTTGAATTTTTTATTGATTTGTTGAACGTTGAAAAATGTGTAACGTTCAGTGGCAAATAACTTATGCAAAATCCGGTCGATTTCTTTAACCAGTACAGTTAAACAGTTTATACCAAGTTCCTGAACTTCCTGCTGTAAGGTAATTTGTCTTCAGTTATCTACCACGAGGACCTTGTTCTCATCACAAGTGCAATGTTGCGTCAATTTGGAGAATATTGTCTAACTACCTTGATAATTGAGTTGATTTATGAACTTTATATGACCATGTGTTCAAACAAAATATTCCTAGTTCCCGAACTTTAGCTTAAGGTACGTTGTCGTGATAAGAGTTAGGATGATTAGAGAGTATATAATGGCAATAACAGAACAAAATAACAGTGCGGTATAGGACCTGAATGAACGTATAGCTCACGAAGGTAAAATTATTTTTTGTGGCCTCGAGTTGTTTCACATGAATGAACTCTAAGTAATGATTCGTTATTTCCTATTTTCTTATTGATCTTTTCATATAACTACAAATTAATACCACATATGCAATTTTATATAAGGTTATTCTAAAGCTGTTGGGCTAGATCAAGCTCTTAATCGTTCCTATAAGTAAGCATTTATTCATGAAACCTCTAAACTGATAATAACAAGTGTCTTGGTTTTGTTTTACTATAGGACGGTAGTTCAGCGTTTTAGATAGTTGGTCATACAATTGGTCTTCCCGAAGGATGATCGCTCTATTGTTAGTTACTGCCTTGTTGTCAGTTAATGCTGAGGACCAAGGTGTTTATATTGATAATCAATGGAATGGTGGCTTTCAAGGTCATATTTTACTACACCCTGCAGTAGCCCTCCATGGCTGGACTATCCATGTCAAATTTGATCATCCTGTTGACAAACTAGAGGTAAGCAAAATATCAAATAATATCAATGGTAGGTGTCGTGTAATGCTCTAAATCACCAAACAGAACCTAGAAATCATAGTACCAATTTGAATCCATTTATTTCTCATTAACTACAAATTAAATAGTTACAGAGAATATGAATATATGTATCAATATACATCAATCGGACTTGAAAGGCATCCTATGAAGATGTCATTTATTTTTTCCCTATTGAGTACTTATTGTTATGAGCTCATACTGGGTCGTTTGAACTGCTAAATCCGTCTTCATTATGCATTATCCATGAGGGTCTGGATGAGGGGTCCTTCATTTCTCTATTCTTTATTTTGTTAGACCATTTTTCTCTATTCTTTATTTTTTAGTCCATTATTCGCTGTTCTTTGTACTTTTCCGCCTTTATTCTGAACTTTTTGCCCATTATTCTCTATTCTGTAATCCATCAAAAACCTCATTCATGTATACATAACTAAATACTGATATAATTGCGTTATCAACCTCAATTTTTTTAAAGCTGTTTGATGAATCCAACTTTATTTATTACTTGAGAGCAATCCTGAATAAGAAGTTACTATTGGTCAATTTTGAACATTTTCGTATCTTGAAGTAATACTTTTGCTGATTTATATTCATAAAATATGTTTCTCTAAACCAACAAATAAGAACTTTAGATAGAACGTTCCGTTTTCATTCTCCTCTAAATTCTTAATTTATTTTCACCCTGAAAAATACTTTTCTTCAGAGCTTTATAAAAAGCACATGCACATTCTGATTATTCAAAATATAAAAAAAAAGAATCAAATAAAGCATCAATTTCATCAAACTAAGAGTTATACCTACTAGGTACGAATAATTAGGAAGAGGCAAATCAAGGTAACAAACTGGAACTTAGAGAATCGCATGAACTAAAAGGAACGAGACGTGCATTGTGAGTCAAGAGGATAAGCCCTTCCTGTTATATAGCATCACCCGCCATGCTAATTCACAATCAGTTAAAATGTCGCAATCTGGAACAGTACACAATTGGTAAAATTACAGATCGGACGACAATACTGGTATCATTAGATCAAAGACCGAGAAAACATGTCGCTAGTAAGCAAGAAACTCTCCATTCCTTTGGCGATGTTACATGTTTACAAGTATTTAATACCTGTCATGTCAAGTCATTGTAGGACTATAATCAACTATCTGAGACAAAATGGTCACATGTACAACAATCAGCCTTCATATTCCTAAACATATTTAGGTCACCTTATTTTCTGTCTCAAGGACCATTTTTTGTCATTTTCTTGTCATTTCAACTACCAGCCTTAAAGATTCTATTCAATAGCTGAAACGCAAAACTGTTAATATAATTGTGACAGTGACATTTTTATCTTAAGTTTTGGTTAATTGATACACTTTTATCAGCTATCTGTTTTCTAACTTATGTAAACGTTTTTTTCTGAATAGTATATGTATACAATTCCCCTAGTCGTCCAGATAACAGGCTAAGGATCCCTGTTTACATGTATCAAGGGTAATAGATTAGAAGGCTAAGAAATATAGTTCACTTTTAACCTTGATTGTACAATTGGTTTTAAATGTCTATCGGCATTTGTATAATGATATTTTAGTAACATCTTATTTACGTTACATTAGAACTTCAACAACGTAAGTAAACAAAATGTTTTAAAAAGAAACCCACTGAACCAACACATACAGCTTGCGACGAGCTTTGACCATTTACATTTTGTGTATTTAGACCTGGGTAGCTGTAATATCATCTACCAGCTCAGACAAAACAGAATTTGTACTTACAAATAAGGACTATGATAAAGATGTTTTGTCCGGGGGAAACCTGAAGATCGACTTTGTAGCACGTGCATCGGGTACCACATCTCTAGCAGGGGCAGTAACAATAGAAGGACAGGGTCCACCATCTACAGGAACACAACAACCAAATCAACCAACGAGTAATTCATCAGTTCCACCAGTTTTGATAAATAATTCAACAGTACCACCAAGTCATTCTGTAAAATTGACACCACCACCTGGAGTTGGTAAGCATTACGTTTATAGATATAGAAGTATAAATTGAATAGCTGAATAAATGTAATAATCTTGCAAACAATTTACCTGTATTTTAGTCATATATATTAAAGCAGATTAAGTGTTTGTGTTTGATGTTAATTTCATTTGTATATTTCGACTTAAGTGTTCAGTTAATGAGTTACGTTACTGTTGCAAATAAAGGTTTTAATTGCCAAAAGCACAATTCACCTAACACGGTTTTTAAGAATAATTCCACAGATAATCAAAACTAAGTAATAACAATTGAGGATACTACATTGCTTTAAATAATGACGGGTTTCATATTATACTGCGGAAATTAACTCAAGGGGACTAACTTTAGATACAATTCATATAAACATTCATATTTGTTTATTTCTAGATTTGGATATTTCATTTTCACACGGGAAACTATATACAAAAATGTACAAAATAAAGGGACTATTTTTGTTCCCTATTGTAAAGTTCCCTTTTTTACCTGATGTTCCTTTTACCCCTATTTACGTTGTGTATTGTACTCACGAATTCTCCATGTAAGTACCAGGGATATGTTTTGGTACGCTAATCGCGATCTTAATACGATTTACCATAAGTTAGGTGTTTTTGTGCTTCATACCATATCCAAATGATATTTACAGCTTGCTTTATGTTGTGCTGTTACACCACTGTTTAATATTAGGGGAGGGAAAGCGCGCACAAACATTTTAAACCCCGCCACATTATTTATGTGCCTGTCCCCACTCTGGAGCCTGTAACTCAGATGTTTTAGTTGTTTCATTTCTGTAATATTTGTTTTGCGCTAGTTGTTTTCTTACAAATTAGGCCGTTGTTTTTCTATTTTTTTTTTCTCATTTGTGTAAAGTCGAGGCCTTTTTATGCTGACTTTTAGGTATGATTTTGTTCATCGTTGAAGGCCTTACGGTGACCTATCGTTGCTTACATTTACGTCATTATGACTCTGGTGGAAATTGTTTCATTGACAATATATGAAATCTCCATAAATGTATATACATATACACTGTTCATGCTAGATTCAGGACCCAAAATCATACTGATTTTTAATCCGGTAGTTGGAAAGCGACACATAAAAACACATACCTTATATAATATTACAGATTTCAAGTTAAAAAAACTGCCATATTCATAATGTGCCTATCCGAAGCGAGGAGCCTGTAATCCAATTGTTGTTGTTTGTTGGTGTTTAGTTTTACATTTATTGTTTTAGTAAAAATCAGGAAGGATTTTGTTTTTTTTTTCTCTTAAATGTTTTCTTTATTTTGTCATCTTTGGACTTTTATAGATACCTAATGGAATTTGCTCATTGTTTAATAAATACTGTATGATGTGTAGAAGTCTTGTGTATGTCTGTCGGTTAGCTTGATTGATGTTTTATTAACGTTTACCCCATATCGCATCTTAAATTATCAGTTCATAAACTAAGAAATTATTAAGAAACTAAGGTTCAACTCACTCAGTCAAAGTTGACCTTATATGGATTTGCTATTATTTTTAGCTTCTTTTTGGTCATAGAGCTCTTCAATTGTTTCAGTTCTTGTACATCATTGGCTTTCAAATATTCGACGTGATGAAGGTGAATCAAGAAAAGCTCGTCGGACGCATGACATTTATAAAGTGTTGTTTTCATTTTTGAAGCATAGTAACAAATTTCATTTGTACTTTAGGAGGATCTAAGATGAAATATGACTATGGTAATGCCATGGGACTTTCCATCTTGTTTTATGACGCTCAGAGATCAGGTAAACTTCCCAGTAACAATCCGATCTCATGGAGAGGTGATTCTGCAATGGGTGATAATGGGGATGGACATGACCTAACAGGAGGCTGGTATGATGGCAAGTATATATATTTGAATGTGTATGAAAACCCCCGAAAGAGTCAGTCGCGAAGCAGGGAAGATGTTACCCTGATTAGAAGTTTGATATAATGGTTTGCATTGAACAGAAAGGTCTACATAAGGTGCATATTTTCTAATATTTAAGGAAGGTTTGCATTTAGCAAAATATATGTTTATCTATTTGATAAACCATATACCACGTGGCCTTATCTCATGCTATTAAATCGTTGTAAGCACATTGCATCGTCGGTACATGGTAACAATTATTGCCAATAATTTTGTAGATATTTGTATCTAGAAATATTATGATTCATATTTAATGTAAACATGAGAATAGGAATAATATTAAAACTGACAAAATTGAAATTCAATCCTTTGATTATCTATTTAGTTGTTTACTTGCATAGAAACCGTACTACCTTTATCAATGTTTGGCTTGGTTTTCGTTACGTATAAATACAAATTTTCTTCCCAGCTGGAGATCACGTCAAATTCAACCTTCCGATGGCAATGTCGGCTCATGTTCTAGGATGGGGATTGGAAAAATTCAAAGATGCATATGAACATGCTGGAAAACTGGACGACATGTATGATTGTTTGAGAACACCTCTGGACTATTTTCTGAAATGTTGGATTCCAAGCCAGCAAACTTACTGGGTTCAGGTGATTTATTTGCTCAAACGTTATATATGCTATGTATAGGTTGTAGGTTCATGCGTATTTAATAATCTCATATTACCTCGAATCTTAAGTTTAAACATCATAAGCCAAGAAACAAACAACTCATATTGGATTAGAAATAATCAGGAAAGATAGGCGAAAGATACCAGAGGGACATTCAAACACATAAGTCGAAAATAAACTAAAAACGTCATGGCAAAAAAAAGAAAAGACCAAAAGAAAAACAACATTTGACAAAACACAACATAGAAAACTAAAGACTGAGCAACATGAACCCCACCAAAAACCGTGGGGATCTTGGGTGCTCCGGAAGGGTAAGAAAATCCTGCTCCACATGTAGCAACCATCGTGTTGCTCATGTTAGTACAAATCCAAATTGAATGATAAGTATATGCACACCAATCGGAATGATACTATGTGAATTGATTCTGTTCAGACCTTGTGTAACGCTGTGTGAAATGAAAAAAAAAATATAAAAAATGAAGCTAAGCCTATCAGCGAATTACTGGCATCCGATTGGAAAATATTTTGAATCAGAATCAGAATTGAAACTAAACGGTCTAAAATAGAAAAAGACTATTCAGGACAGGTTAAGAAAAAGAAAAAACAAGAAGGTGCATGAACAAATAAAAAAGTTGAATAATACGGATATATGCTCTGATTCCTTGCCCGGCTTTGGTTATATTTTGTGTCCATTTGGTTTTATCAGCTCTTCAATTTTTTTATTAAGTTTTGGCTTCGAGCTTCACTGAATAGACATTTATTGTCGAAATGCGCATTTTATGCAGTAACATTATTCCTACCACTGGGTCGATAACTCTGCTGGTGGATTGTAAGTCCCTGAGAGCATCACCATCACCAGCCCAGTAGCCAGTACTTTGGTACTGGCATGAAAATACGGATATTGTGCTATTGAAATTTGCTGTTTAAAAAATTATTGAAATTATTTTAAATTATGAAATATATCTCCCTCATGCAAAGCTCTGATTCCTTGCCCTGCTTTGCTATACTTTGTCTCCATTTTGGTTTTAGTAGCTCTTTAATTTTTAATAAGTTTTAGGTTTTTAAATATATTGGCCTCTTGCATCACTGAAGAGACATTTATTATCGAAATGCTCATTTGGTGCAGTAAAATAGGTACCGTTAATGTTATTATTTGATTTTTAAATAAAACATATAAAGCAGAGATATATGTAACACTGAACTAAAAAAACTTCACGTTTTGTTTTCAAATGGCAAGGATAACAAGGATTGAACCGGTTTTAACACTAGTGCTATGTAGAAATAAGAAGATGAGAATGAGACAACTTTTCATCAGAGACCAATTCAAATGACGCAATAGTCAATAATATAGGTCACCATACAGCTACTTCTTTCAAGAATATTTTACTTGGCAATCACATTCCCCTGTATGTTATTGTTAATAATGAATTCAACTCTTATATTACTTAATCAAGAAGGGCCAGAACTTGATGTTATGTATGAGGGTATGAATAGGGTTTTCAGAATAGAGAATATTGAGCAACAGGTGACGAATAAATGGCAAAAACAAAATTAGTAACATAGTAAAAAAAAATAGAGAATGATGGGTTGCTGAAATATAAAGAATAGAACAATACTGGAGAAAATGAATAAATAATAGAGAAAAAAGTCTAACATTAAAGAATATCGAAATGAATGAACCCCCTTCCATACCTTCATGCATTTGTGTTTTCAATACATATAGGTAGGTGATGGTGGAGCAGACCACGCTTTCTGGGGGAGAGCAGAGGACATGCACATGGGTAGACCCGCTTATAAAATTCACCCCGGGGCACCAGGAAGTGACGCTGCAGGAAATACAGTTGCAGCACTTGCTATCGGAGCAGTTGTTTTCAAAGACAAAGGTAAGAGGATTAGAGTCATTGTGGTAGAACAAATTAGTATCAATCGGCAGAAAGCGCTGACAAACGTTAAACTATAATCTGACGAGCTAAGATTGGATTTCTTGCGTAAAATTTCTTATTTCATAATTTAGATCTAATGTAGATGTTTTAATAGTATAACCCATAGTTAAACTGCGGTGAACACAGTTTCAGCATTTTCTATCGGAGCAGTTACTGTTGACGTCAAAATTGTTATATAATTTATAATCAATCGGCAGACCTCGGCATATTCTGCCAACCAACATCAAACGTTCTTAGATTGTATAATCTGACAGGATGAGCCGAATGAAATTCTTAATATTTTATTATTTAGATGGCGCGAGTGTAACACCTATTTTTATTAATATGACCGTAGAAGAAATCGGTATGACTGTTAATTTCAAAAACTTGGGAATGATTTAAAATGTATGCCAAATAATCCCATATTTCATAGGAAAGATACAAACTTTTGTCTCAAACACATGTCTGAATTTATTTTCTTCAATATCTTGTTATTTCTATATTTGTGTTCATACAGTTTATAATTAATTCTTTAGTTACCTTGTAACTATGAAGGCGAAGCGTGAACAAGATCTACATTTCAATCAGATTGCAAGAGGCAACAGTAATGGAGTACTATAAAATTAATCTCATTACTTTAATCTTTTCTTCTCCATTTCATGTTTTCGTAATCAGACAGTAAGAACTATTTCACCTTTCCTTTGTACCTTTTGCGTTTGAATATTTCAGATGCTGGTTACAGTGCTAAATTATTGGAAGCTGCTAAATCCTTGTACGAGTTTGCAAAAGCTAATCCCGGTATTTATTCAAACAGCGTTCCTCAAGCAAAGGCCTTTTATGGGTAATATACGAGTAACACTAATAATTTCTTGACATTCGATATAGACCTTAATGTTTATAAACCGAAAGCTGTATCGAAAAATAGAAATCATAGTCATTCTTTTTTTGTAGAATTGACTTCGGATTAAATTTGCATTGATTCGTAGTGCAGTGCAACGGCTAAGTTGATATTGTTCTCTGTAGATGTTGCCAAATATAAAGTATGTTAACTAGTGTTTGATTCGAAATATGAAACCCCTTATTTTGTACTACACATACCATTAATTCTATATTGCAGATAAACTCAAGGTTGCTCAGCTATTTTTTAATCGTCTATACATTAATAAAAATTATGTTGAATTTTGATAAACATTTGTAAATGAGATTGCCAGTTTACTTTGCAAAAATCTGAAACTACATCATTTTCTACATAAGGAAATGCTTGTACCAAGTCAGAAATATGACAGTTGTTTTTCATTCGTTTGATGTGTTTAAGCTTTTGATTTTGCCATTTGACAAGGAACTTTCCGTTTTGAATTTTCCTTTGAGTTCGTTTTTTTTGTTATTTTACTTTTAATGGCATAAAGGTCAGCGTGTGGTCTTCAAACCAAAACAATGTTTATATAAGAGGGTGTGGATGGGGTTACAGAATAGAGGAGAATGGGCAAAAAAATAAAAGAATAGAGAAATGGACCAAAACAATAAAAAATAAGTGGGTACAGTTGCTATTTTACATATCTTTCCTGCCAAAGGTCGATGGTTCTCCCTGGGTACTCCGGTGTCCTCGCCATCAAAAACTGACTGCCACGAAATAGTTAATGGCCTGAAAGTGTCGTTAAACACCAACCAACCAATATTTTATATATATTCTTAATTAGCTCCTCCGGATATACCGATGAAATGTGTGAAGCAGCAGCTGAACTTTATAAAGCCACCAAAGATCAAAAGTATCTGACAGATGCAAAGTCTTTTTACGATCCTGCAGTGGCCTGGGGTTATTCGTGGGATGCAAAACAACCAGGTTGTCAGGTATGCGTTTAACTTAATGCTATATTAAGAGACACTTGGAAATTGTTTTAGATATTTGCTTGCTGTATATTCGGTACTATTCAGGAAAACTTCCAATCAATCCAGGACTGTTAAGTCACGGTTAGGTATAAAGGAAACATTTTGAAAATCGCGAAATCAAATCATGGCGAAATGGACTAGTAAGGTCTGAACGCGAAATAAGTTAGCTTACAGTATATTGTATAAAGTAGGTAAATTACAGCTACGGAGCAGTCAAGAAGACTAAACGAATTCAACTACATGCAAACTATGTATGTGGACAGTAGTGAATTTTGCGCAATGAGCATGTCCCAAATTAGACTGAAAAACTGAACATATCTATGTTTTTCAGACCGGTTAGATTAAACAATGATAGCTTTAAAACTCAATGTATCTATCTTTTTACGAGTATTCATAAGATTACCATGTAATTATGTCAAATATATGATTCTTTGAAAGAAGTATTGTTCGTTATTTTTCGTGGGATACTTATTTTCGGGGATTTCGTGTGCACATTGTTCAATTTTAGAAACCAGGAAATCAGAAAACGAAGAATATACAATTTTCTTGATTCTACAAAATTTGTACCTATGAATAAAAACCTGAATCCACTCTAGTTTCATTTCATCTTAACTTCATTCTTTATATATGTAGCTTCTACTCTGGGAATTAACTCAAGAAGCTAAATATAAAACTAACATGGAAGAATTCATTGCTTCATACGCACCTGGTGGATCGGTACCTATGACACCATGTGGATTGACTTACAGAGATAAATGGGGATCAAACAGATATGCTGGCAAGTCTTTATTTTGATCCAAAGAATCCAAGATCCAAACAAACATATGTCAAGGATCTTGAATAAAACGAGATATGCAATGAACGTCAATGATATGATAGCTTAACGACAGATACCCTATTGCACAAAAAAAATACATCAAGAGTAAAGCAACAGAAAAAAACATAACATTGTAAATATTGTAAAATGGTGTACGTTTTTGTTTGACAGTTAACAACTGCAGCATCGTGCATCTGGTACTGTTGTGTAATGATTCGTCGTTCTGTCATTAAATTTGAAAGTCGTGTTTCCGAAAGGAACCCTTCCTTAAAGAAAAAGAAAAGAAAAAGAAGCAAAATAGTTGATTTTTTTTATTGATCTTTGCTATTAGATATTTAGTTAAGATTTTTTTCCGTTTTAGCTAATGCCGCTTTTATTGCCGTGATTGCTGTTGCTGACGGAATAGGTGGAGATAAGTTTTTGAATTACGCCATGTCACAAATAAACTACATCTTAGGTGACAATAATTTACATTTGAGTTATGAAATAGGATTTGGAAATAATTATCCGAAGAAGCCTCACCACAGAGGAGCGTAAGTACATTTTATTGATTTATTTTGAAATAATTATTTGAAGAAGCCTCCGAATTATTTCACAATGCGTTTGCCATGCCAACAGCTTTGAAACAGTTGAATATATTTTAAATTGTTTAAAAGCCACGTGAATAAGATATTTTTCTTTTAGACAATAATGAAAACAACACTTTATAAATTTAATGCGGCCGAAGCGCTTTTCGGGATTTAACCTTCATAGGGAACGCTGAAAGTTGAATATTTGATAGTCAAGGGTGTATAAAACAAAACAAGTTGAAGAGCTATAGAACTATAGAAATAATAGCCAAATCCATGTAAGGTCAACATTTTATGATATTATTTCTCTTAGGTAACCTTTCATAATCTACATAAAATTGAGAATGGAAATAAGGAATGTGTTAAAAAGAAACAAACCGACTAAAGAGCAGAAAACAGCCGAAGGCCACAATGGGTCTTCAACACAGCGAGAAAATCCTGCACCCGGAGGCGAAGTTCAGCTTGCCCCTAAACAAAAATATGTACTAGTTCATTGAAAATGAAGGTCACACTAAACTCCAAAACATATAAATGAACTAAAGTTAAAAAAAAAACATACAAGACTAACAAAGGCCAGAGGCTCCTAACTTGGAACAGGCCCAAAAAAATGCGACGGAGTTAAACATGTTTTGTGAGATCTCAACCCTCCCCCTATAACTCTAGCCAATGCAGAATAAACAAACAAACAGCAATACGCACAGTAAAACTCAGTTTAAAAGAAGTCCGAGTCTGATGTCAGAAAAGGTAACAAAAAAGAAACTAAGCAAAATGAATACGATACATAAATTAACAAAGTACTACTAGCAGTGACTGACACGCCAGCTCCACAGCTCAGTTAATCTGATTGAAAGATTATGTCTTCATCATATGAAAATCAAGCATAATCCCTCCCGTTTGAGGTTTAGTATCATACCATCATAAAATATATGAGAAGAACATAACCCGTACATGTGCACTTTACATGATTATTTTTCATTTCACAGTGCATGTAAGCCAGGTTGGTGTGCTGCCTCATGGCAAGATAGTCCAAATATTTTGTACGGTGGACTTTGTGGTGGACCTGGTCAGAATGACGATTATCAAGACAATCGAGATGATTATGTCAAAAATGAAGTAGCGTGTGATTTCAATGCTGGTTTCCAAACTGCATGTGCAGGTAACATTATTCATAAAAACAAAGCCATAACTATGATCGAGCTTTAAATGGTTTTATAAAGACTTAAACCAGCACAATTGGTCCTGATATTTGAGGCTGATGCGTTTTGAAGCTCTGATTAATACATGATAAACAAATTAAAACAACTGCTTCATGTGATGAACACTGAAATGTTGCTCAAAGACTAAGAAATTAAAAAGTTGAAAAGTTTAATCAATAAAGAGAAATTATACACCTTGGTTTACACTGAAAATTTCCTGCCGAAGGCCGCTGGTTCTCTCCAGGCAATCTGGCTTCCTCCACTAATAAAAACCAATCGCCACGAAATAGCCAATAGTACTAAAAGTGGCGTTAACCATAAGCAATCAATCAATCGTATACACTGAGAGGTATATAGAAATTATTGCTAAGATTAACACAATCGCTTCTGTTTATTTTTCGAATAAAAAGCCTAACAAAAGTTCTTATTTCTTTGTCTTACATTAAACATGAGACGTTTACCTTAACCACTGCTATTTCTTGTTTTTTCACGTTATATAATCATTCGTTTTGTTTTATAGGTCTCTACCATTTCGCAATCAATAACCAGCTGCCTCCATCTCCACCAGCGAAATGTTGATTTTCAGATGCTTACCTTTAAGACTGAAGATTTAAAACTGTTATGATAAATTTAAAATAAAGATGTATATTTGTTCAAGTCAACTTTTCTGATGTCTTAAAAATAGCATGCACGAATTTCGTATCATGTGTAAACTTGAAGACTTGTGTTAGATGACAACCATTTGACCCCCAACCTCCCCTCTCCCGAAAATCAAATGGTATTTCTTTTAGTAAACATATATTATGGTTATGATTACTTCAGTAAAGTTAGTATGATTACTTCAGTAAAGTTAGTATGATTACTTCAGTAAAGTTAGTATGATTACTTCAGTAAAGTTAGTATGATTACTTCAGTAAAGTTAGTATGATTACTTCAGTAAAGTTAGTATGATTACTTCAGTAAAGTTAGTATTGTCGATGAGCTCCGTTTTACTTGTATACAGCTGAAATCAGACCAAACAAAATAGCTACTAGTATTCCATACATACAACTAAACCATAAGAGAGGGACGAAAGATACCAGAGGGACAGTCAAACTCATAGATCGAAAACAAACTGACAACGTCATGGCCAAAAATAAAAAGACAAACAGACAAATAATAGTACAGATGACACAACATAGAAAACTAAAGACTAAGCAACACGAACCCCACCAAAAACTGGGGGTGATCTCAGGTGCCCCGGAAGGGTAAGCAGATCCTGCTCCACATGTGGCACCCGTCGAGTTGCTTATGTTATTACAAATCCGGTAAATAGTCTAATTCGGTAAGTCACATTCGTGAAAAGGGAAAGGTATTGTAGTTACGACATAAGGAACATATCCGATATCATCTGTGAAACGGTTATTCCATAACGGTCAACCAACTCGTGATGGCGTCCGTAAAATTTACGAAGGGATGACTTCAACTTCACCATTTGGAACTCTTGGTTTAATAGCTTCCTTGTGAGCAGCAATCCTCTATCAAGGAAATCATGATAGGAAACACAAGCCCGGGAATATCGTAATACTATCGCCCATAATCATCGTCGACATCATCACAAACATGGTTTCTCAATCTTTGCTTCTTCCTTTCTTTTCTTCTCTTTATTTATATTTCGTATAATATCCAATATATTTGTTCGTTTAACATTCTTCCTCATAATATTATCATTATATATATACTCATATTGCAGACGACTTCATAACTATGATTTGCTTGTGTCTCAACCGACAAACAAACAAAATATGTTTAAACTATATCGTTGTCCTTTGTTTTGGTGGTGTCTAGTTTTTGTATTATTATAAACCATACTACAACTCCTTATCTTTATATTAGGTAAACACTTGTCATTCGATTAAGCACTCAATTGTAATTGAACCCTAGCCGTTTTAGTTTTAGAGTCGGGTGGTGACGCTGTGTTTAAATGTATAGGTAGGCATTACAAAATAAAAGGATATGGAGTAAATGTACATGGGACAAAATCGCACACAATACATAGAAAAAATAAAAAAATATCAATAAACAGGGCTTTTATTCCTGTTCTTCATCTTGACAGTTGATGTAGGGTCTTCAACAATGAACGAATCATTCATACCCTACATTAAAGTCAAGACGGCCCCTAGCGTATATACATATCGGTTATACTTGTGCCTGTATTACTCGGCTCAGGTAATCATAAAATTGCTTATTACGGCTTTGTGATGTTAATATGAAAAAGGAGATGTGAATTATACGTTCATGAGACATCAATCCAACAACAAAATAGCAAAAAGACATCAAGAGGACAACAAACAGTCTATACCATAGACCGGTGTCTATACGTCTATACAATGTCAAAGTCTTAATTGTCCCGTGTTCATATGTAATATGTAAAGGCATGCCTTTTATAGCTTACTAAATAAGACTTATAACCGGGTTTGTACTTGCATGATCAACACGACGGGTGCCACACGTAGAGCAGGATCTGCTTACCCTTCCGGAACATCTGAGATCATCCGCCATTTTGTGTCGGGGTTCGTGTTGCTCAGTCTTTAGTTTTCAATATTGTGTTTTGTGTATTGTTGTTTGTCTGTTGGTCCTTTTCATTTTTAGCCATGCCGTTGTCAGTTTATTATGGTATCTTTCGCCTCTCTTTTACGACTTACTTATGTAGATGAAACTCGTGTCTGACGCATCAAATTAGGAGCCTGGTATCTTTGATAAGTTTTTACAACCACTGGATAGATGGCACTGCTGGTGGACGTTTGATCGCAGGAAAAACCAGCCCAGTAAAAATTACTTTTGACATGAAATAATATTGATAAGTTCATTTTCTGTAAATACTAGTAAACTGTTTAAAAAATATATAAATAATTCAACACCTACGTTTTTCTACCACTAGGCATAGTCTTAAAATGTCCTGTACCAAGTCAGGAATATGGCAGTTGTTATCAAGTAGTCCGTTTCTATGTATGTTGGCGTTTGTTTTTGTTGCAGTTCAGTGTTTCTGTTGTTCCGTTGTTTTCCTCTTATTGTTGATGTGTTTCCCTCGGTTTTAGTTTGTAACCCGAATTTGTTTTCTCTTAATCGATTGATGACTTTTGAACAGCAGTATACTACTGTTGCCTTTATTTACCCGTAATTGGCACAACTTTTTTTTGTTTATTTTTGTTTGTTTCCAATGCTCTTCAACTTCGTATCTTATTTGGCCTTCACCTGTCGAGTCTGATTTAGACGAAACTTACCAAATTAAATGTCTGGTATCATTGATGAGTGTTTATAACCAATGGGTTGGTCCGATGATTATCACCAGTCCAACAGATGAAAGCATTTGTGTGTTGACCTGAAACAACATTGCTTTGCCAATTTTCTGTAAATCAACTCTTGATAAAAATGTAAAAATTATTCAACAGTAAAAAGTTTCTACCACCAAACATAGATAGCCTACCCTATTTGGCACAACTTTTCGGAATGTTCTAATTTCAATGTTCTTCAACTTCGTATTTTATTTTGCCTTCCATCTTTCGAGTCTAATTTAGACGAAACTTACCAAATTAGAAGTCTGGTATCTTTTATGAGTGTTTATAACCAATGGGTTGGTCCGATGATAATCACCAGCCCAGTAGTAGAAAGCATTTGTGTGTTGATATAAAACATTATTGATATGCTGATGTTCTGTAAATCGACTTTTAATAAAATGTAAAAATTATTTAATAGTAAATTTGTTCTACCACCGGACATAGATAGCCTAAGCCTATTTGGCACAAATTTTCGGAATTTTCTTATTTCAATGCTTTTTAACTTCGTAATTCATTTGTCCTCCCAACTGTCGAGCCACGTGATTCGAGCGCCACATGAAGAGTATTGTGTAGACGAAAGCGTGTCTACAGTATCAAATTATAAACATGGTATCTTTGTTGAGTATGTTTTCTACAGTATAGGTTTTGATCGTACTGAAAGTCTTATGGTGACAAATAGCTTCTTACATCCACGTCTTATAGTCTTGAGTGGATAGTTGTCTCATTGGCAATAATACCACATCTTCTTATTTTCATATATATCTAGCCTTTATAACTTTGACCCAAGCTTATTACCGACGTCATAATGCTTAGTCCGACGTTAATAAGTTTAACCAAACTCTCTCAAATATAATCAAAAAAATCGATTACCATAATTAGTTGCTCGGCATTATATGAGTCCTTTTTGAACATGTTGTCTTACAAAGCTTCATATTGTTACTTGCAGCTGCTGATATTTTACAGTACCAATATGCAGAAAACATAATAATCGTTACATTTGTTGTGCATTTATTCTGTAATGACTTATATTAAGTTCGGGTAGTTCAAGTCAAGAAGCCTTTAACAATATTATTGAGTCTTATTTGTTTGCTGTTAAGACAATCCAGATTGTATTCCAATTTCACCTGTCATTTCCTTTTATTTTAGTTCTTTTTTCTATGTTTATGCATTATTTAAAAAGAAAAACACCCTGCAGTTTTCTGACTTTTGTTTCCTTTCCCTGGAAGTCAATAAGCCAAAGTTAAAGGTCACTTTGACAATGTAAACTTTTCAGTTTAAAAAAAATAAAACCCAGAATGTATTAAATCTCCATTATTTGAAAGGAATGATACTTGTAATAAATTAAAACATAACTAAATATGTATTCCTATTCAATTATGAACACTTACGGTCCTAAATCCTGTGGATACTTAAAATTTTTGGATTGTGTTTTTCTGTTGATGACTTTTTTACGCTAAATCCACCGGATGCGTGAATATTTGATATTTGAATATGGGAAACATGAATTGATTTATTAGTTGGAATTGGCTTTGAACTAGCTTTCAGTAACTGCAAGTTTTCTTAGATCGCTACTTCGGCTTTTTCAATCTTTTTGTGGTTCTCTCGGGGCACTCCGGCTTCCTCCACCAATAACAACTGACCGCCAGGAAATAGCACAATAGTGCTGAAAGTGGCATTAAACACCAATCAATCAATCAATATTTTTGTTAGTTATTTTTTGTTATGTGTCGATCTAGTGAGTAAAGCCTTTTTCTAAATTATTTTTACATATGTTATTATGTTGTGCTGCTAACCACTGTGCAAGGTTAGAGGATCGGAGTTGAGTGCTCGCAACGTATTTAACCCGGCCAATATTATTTTAGGAGCCTGTAGTTCAGTGACTGTCGGGGCCTTATATAATTGGATATACGGAATATGGGTTTTGCTCATTGTTGAAGGCTGTACGGCGACCTATAGTTGCTTTCATCAACTTCATTTGTTACTGGTGGTCTGTTGTCTCATTTGCAGTCATACCATATCTTCTTATTTTTATTATTAATAAAGGAAAATATTTAGACAGCTATGAAAATTGAAAATTGTGGTTGCATTTATCATGTTTTAGGATTCGATGTAACTATGTCATCTAAATTAAAACCAACTGTTTTTTGCATTAAGTCCTCTATTTTTGGCAATATCTTACTTTATTTTCATATTAAAGAAGAATTAGATATGAAGACAACCGTCAAATATAAGTTTGAAGGATTGTGATGATGAGTTTATTCAAATTGTTTTTACACAACTTGAATTTGTCT